CCTCTCTGTCTCTTTGCGTGCCTTGCTCGCCCATCGATATGGATGGCTTGCCACACACGCATGGTCCGTCGGTCGATCGGCCACTCTCCTCACCTTTCAGGAGGGAGGGAGGGAGCATTCATCCATCAATCCATTCATCCATACAGGTCAGTCAGGTTCATTGCCAACAACACACACACACACACACATATACATACACACAGTCGTCACTAGGAGGAGCGATTCAAGATGGCCATGAATGGGGGAGGGTAGGGGGACAGGCAGGCAGGCAAGCACACGGGGGTCTTCCCAAAGGAGCCGCCTCTGTTTGTAGCACTTGTTCGGGCACCACACGGATGGCTGTCCAAGATAACCTTCGGGAGAAGGTCATCGGGATGGCCGTCCTTTGGCTTCTCGAACAAGCGCGACGAAAGCAAGAGGGAACTCCGCACACAGAAGTGGGCACTCGTCCGAGAAAATTGGCGCTCACTGCGATAAAGAGCATCCCCTTCAGACTGCTACAGCGCCACTCAAAGACAGACAGACAGACGGACAGACAGACATTTCGCCACTCTCACGCGCAGTTCAGCATAGCCCACAGTCGATCGATCCATCGATCCATCACGACTGCGAAAAATTCGCACCCCCGCCGGCCTATCACTCTCTTTTCGCCCACCCCGCAGAGCCCGCCAGCTGCACTCGCCCCCGCCAAAGCAACACAAAGAGGGGATTAGACACATAGGTCATGACATGAGTGGGAGGGGTGGTGGAGCAGGCAGGTTAGGTGCGGCTACAGCAGCACTCAGCCAGCCATTGCGCAAAATGGCCATCCATCCATCGAGGCCACGAAAAAGCTCCCGGAACAGAGAAAGAGAAAGGGTGAAGGCAATAGGAAAGGAATAGATGGCGAGGCCGCGACGATCGGCGCCCTTAGGTCAGCGGATCTGTTGGGACTTGCCAAAGACGATCGACAGCAGGGCCATGCGCACGTACAAGCCGTTCTGAAATGACGACAGGGACCACACATGGAGTCACTGATGCAGTCAGTCACTGATGCGTTTGCGAGGTCTGGGCTTGGTTTGTACGTACAAACCTGTGCCTGTTCGAAGTATGCCTGTCTGTGGTTCCTGTCGACGTCGGGGTGGATCTCATTCACGCGCGGCAGCGGATGCAAAACCTGCGGGGCGGAGGATGGTGGTACTTACTGCGGTGAATGCCTTCATTTCATTCGCCGGCTGTGTCGTGTCGTCTGTCTTACTTTGCAGTGTTGGGGTGCGAACTCGTCGAGCAGCTCCGACGTCAGGATGTACGATGACTTGAAACGCTGCACACACGCACACAGAGACACACACAAGGGACTGTTCTGTGTGCCCCGCCGGTTGGCTGTCAGATTGTGCGGTGCGAGAGGGGTGTCGCCCACCTCGTATTCCTCCTTGTTGGAGAACCTCTCTGCCTGCACGCGTGTCATGTAGAGCACGTCGACTTTGTCCAGCACCTCGCGAATGTTGCGGTGGCTCGTCTGACGCCCGTCGGGCTTCAGACCCTGAACACACACACATCACCCCACCCACAATGATTGTCAGGTGACTGCGCTGCGTGGCAGGGCAGGCGAGCAGGTCGCTCACGTACGTTGATGCGGAACATGTGCTCGACCGTCTGCTGCAACTCGTCGGGCATCTCCAGACCATCTGTTGATGGTAAACGTGGACACACGCAAGGGTGTTCCAGCGCTCCCTGTGTGTAGAGGTGGCTCATTGCCTACCAGGTGCAACGTATCTGAGGTAGACATTGTATCTGGAGAGCAGCTTGACCAGCGAGTGGACTGTGCGGCCGTGCCGGAGGTCGCCCACACACCCAACACGCAGTGGCTGAACAAACCATACCAACCACAGCAACAAGCAAACAGCAACATAGCACAGCCAATGAGCGCCACAGTCATGACAGGCAGGCCTCAAGTGTGTGTGCATACCTGTCCCAGTTCGTTATCGAGCAGGTATGGGAAAAACCACGATATGGTAAAGAAGTCGAGCAGCGCCTGCGTGGGGTGCTCGCCGGTGCCATCACCTGCATTGAGGACAGGCACGCTCGACGCCTTCACCGCACGAACCGCTGAACCCTGCACGCAGCCAGCCAGGCAGGCAGGCAAAGAGCAAACCAGGCGGGTGTTTGCCATGAGCCAGTCGAGTGTGGGTGGGTGTCTTTGTGTTTGTGACCTCCTTTGGGTGTCTGATGACGATGGCGTCGGAGTATGAGCACATCATCATGATGGTGTCCTCCAAGGTCTCGCCCTTCGACACACTGCTATTCCCAACCTGACGCACAACACACACACACACACACACACACACACTCGGCGCGATATCGGTGGTGCAATCGTTGCAGCGTACATCTAGTATGGACACGACGTCACCGCCCAGTCGCTTCATGGCGGCCTCAAACGAGCAACGCGTCCGAGTGGAGGGCTCGAAGAACAAGTTAGCCAATATCTTACCCTGCACACAGTCACCGGCACACAGACACGATGCCTCACACTCCCTCCCGCGCGTGTGGATCCACACCCACCTTGAGAATATCCGTCGATCCCCTCTGCTTGACCAGGGCGCGGCATCTGTGCGCCACCTTCATGATGGTCTCCACCTGGTCCTTGCTGAGCTCATCCACCGACACCAACCCCGTGTGCGGCAGCGCCTTGGACTCCCGCTCATCGCCGCGTGATCGCAGAGTGCGGAAGATGCCCCAGATGATGTACAGGGCCGTGGCCGACGTCGCCGCCACCGCAACGCCCTCTACCAGCAAAGAAAACGTGTCCATCTCGAGAGCGATATGCCAGCCCGCTTCGTTTGTTTTTTGCTGCTCTAACTCCTGCGAGCTTAGCGGCAAGAGCGTTGTTGTCGGCCCTGTTCCGTGCTCAGCCAACAGGAGAAGCAGCGGGCCGGTGCCGCTGTGCCGAGATCTGGGACTCAGATGGACCAATGGCTGTGCTGAAGCGCATCGGGACCTTCCTGCTCTTCGTCGGGGCTCCAGTGGCTGCAGGAGCCGCAGCATCGGCCTATCGCGAGGCCAACTTGCCGCCACGAGGCCCCTACCAAAATGTCAAGGATCTCAAAGACGCCATCGTCGTCGTGACGGGCGCCAACACGGGCATCGGCAAGGCCGCCGTCCACCAGCTGGCGCAAAGGGGCTGCCACGTCATCATGGCATGCCGCGATGTCGAAGCGGGGCGCAGGGCGAGAATGGACATCGAGCAGGCCCTGGCCAACCCAGACTCGGTCCACATAGAGGTCATCAGGTGCGACCTGGCGGACCTGCACTCGATCAGGCACTTCGTCGATGAGGTGTCCACGCGGTACCACCGGATCTACGCCTTGGTCAACAACGCGGGCTGCATCCAGTACCACCCGACGCGGACGAGGGACGGCGCCGACCCGACTCTGTACGTCAACTTCCTGGGCCCGGCCCTGCTGACGGAGCTGATGCTGCCCTGCCTCAGGCGGGCTGGCACACAGGAGAGGAAAAGCCGAGTGGTGCACGTCAACTCCAGGTAGGTACGTGAGGGACGGATGAAGGAGAAAGGAGAAAGGACGAAGGGCATACACAACCAACAGGGAGGCAGACATTTCATTTGTCGACCGACCGACTTGTTTTGGATGTTTTGACTGCATGCAGGTTGCAGTACATCAGCCAGCTGGATGCGACGGCCATCCAGCAGCTGATGAAGCGGCGCACCTCCTACATGCCCACAGATGTCATCCGGGAACTCGCAAAGGCCGAGCACGAGGCCGCCGCGTCCTACAGCACCCAGCCGCAGCCCACTCAACGAGACTACGCCAGCTACTATGGCGTCCACCGAGACGATGACGACCGACCCGCAGAGCCCGACCTCCCCCCTCTGCACAGCCGACTCATGGCGCGCTTCCGGCGGTATGGGGAGGCGCTTCAGGGCTATGCAGAGAAGGCGTATGGCGTGGCGTCGACAGGGGTGAGGGACTCGCTGCGGATGGTGGGTGCCAAGGCTGAGGGCGAGGAGGGGCTGCGGGGTGTGGGGAAGCAGCGGTGGAACAGCTCGGCTGCATACGCCAACTCCAAGCTGCTGCAGATGATGCACTGCAAGGAAATGGCCAAGCGGTTCAGAGAGGAAGGGGCGCCCATCACATGTGCGTCTGCGAGAGAGGGGAATGAATGAACAGCGCAGCAATCGATGTGTGTGTGTGTGTGTGTGTGTACGTATGGTGCTTCCTTCCCCTCAGGCAATGCGGTGACGCCCGGGATGGTCAACACGGATCTGTTCCGGTCCTACCCCATGGCAGTCCGCGTCCTCACCGCCCCCATACGCAGAATGTTCATGAGGTCAGCCATCCCCTCAACCACCCAACCAGAGAGGGAAATGCCTGGATGAATGGCCGTCTTCATGTCGTGTGCAGGACGCCATCTGAGGGTGCGGAGCTGCTCACGTGGGCCGTCACGAGCGAGGAGCTCAACGACAGCAACGGCGAGTTCTTCGCTGACCGGAAGGTACCCAAGGGGGCATGCATCTGGACGGCGATCGAGACACGTGTCTGTGTTTGGCTGTGTGTGTCAGGCCGTGCGGGTGAATGATGCTGCGAAGGATGAGTTCCTCGTGGACATGGTGGCGTCGCTGTGGAGGCAGACCGCGAGACAGATGTTTGTGCTGGCCGATGAGGCGGGCTAGTGTTGGATGGGGGAAGAAGCAGACAGGCTCGGCCCCGTGTTGGTTTCGTGTGTGACATAGGACATTTAGTGTATTGGGACGTGCGTGTGGATTGTATGGCAGTCGATGGCTGTGCTTGTGCTCACCTGTCTGACGGGCTCGGCAAACAGAGTGCACCGTCTCACCGCGGTGGCTCTTGTTTGTGGAACTCATCGCGCAGGCCAGTACAAGCGTAGTCCATCAGACTGATGCCAAGAAAGACTCATCGCTTCATTCGACCAGTAAAATGATCCCGCACATGAATGACTCTAGCTGTACACACGAATGGTCTCATCCATGACTGTACAGCACCACGAAGCCTCCCAACTGTACACACACTCGCACGCACGTCTCTCTCCACAACAGGCAGGCTATGCAGCTATCCATCGTCCCTCCGCTATTATATTTACACGTCCTCCTGCACATTGCCCGTCCCCAGCTTCACATACGCATCACCCACCCTACTCAGCAAGTCAACATCCGTCAAATCAAGTGGCGTCGAATCGTTGCCCCGCATCACCGTCTCAGCAACATAGCTCTTCCGGTGACCCGAATACGCCCCGGCCTTCTCCAGCCACAGACAGCAAGACGGATATTGGCAGCCGGCACCAGCCTCGGGCGCCCCGTCTGGCAGCCGCTGCACCGCACACCCAGGCAGGTACCTCTCGGCCGCGGCGGCCTGCTCGATCGTCCACAGGACGCAATTGTTGCTCCAGTCCTCGGCAAAGAAGCCAGTGAACCCGGTGGCGAACCAGGCGTAGACGAGGCAGTGCTGCGTCTCGGCGCAGGTGGCCTTGCACTCGAATTGCGACGAGGTGGTGAAGGCCCACACGGACGCATATCTGAGCTCGGGGTGGGCGGCTGCCGTGCCGGGGGCCCCTGGGATGGGCGTGAGGTTGCTGTAGTCCTCAAAGTCGGTCAGGAAGGCCTCAGTGCCGTTGTACGAGACGAAGGGGAACACCGACCCATAGACACCGGCCGTGGGCTGCCACGAATCGACGAGAAGGTGGGAGAAGCCAGAGTTGGGTGGCAGCGGGGCCAGCTGTGTTGTGAGGCTGGAGAGATAGTCCTGGACAGCTCCGGCGAGGTGGGTGAAGCAGTAGGTCTGCTGTGTGAAGGTCACGCACCGACCCCGCCACGACAGAGGGATGGCCGGCAGCTGGAACTGCGAGAAGGGCGTGTCTGTGGTGGCGTTGGCGGCCACGAAGGCCTCGTGCCACACACTGACCACACACCCGCCCCCATCGGTCCGGCTCGCACACGACTGCTCACATTCACTTCTCGTCGCCGTGTAGGGCCAAGCCCAGCCCTCAGTGGCCTCCAATTGTAGGCGATAGAAGCCGTCTGTCCGGTTCTCGTAGCACACGATGTCTGGGCCCGGCGCGCCGACCACTTGTGTGAGAGGCGTGACGTGGCTGTACTGCCAGTAGGGTGGGTAGTCGCATACGCCTGAGGAGAAGATGCAGTACTGGCCGGGGGGGCAGTCGTCGTCGATCTGGCAGCACCCCCCGCCGCCACGTGGAGATATGGACGAGTGGCAGTGGCTCGAGCAGGATGGGCCGAAGGAACCTATTTGTGTGGATGCAGGGACAATGAGAGCTGTGTCGTCCATCGGTGTGTGCCTTGGGGGATACCAGGTGAGCAGACGCACGTGCCATTGACGAGACAGACACCCTGGCCGCTACAGGGCACAGGCACTGACGGGAAGTAACGATTGTTGCCCGCCGGGCACACCTGCACACGCACAGAAAGGGGCCGTGTGAAGCTCATAAATCGGCTCCCATTTGGCTGACCTCATGTCCACAGTGGCAAGGTGTGGGTGTGTTGTTGTAGAGGCCGAACACATCTTCAGGCATCAGCTCGTTGCGGTACAGCGTGGCCTTGGCAATCCGGCCAGAGAAGAAGGGGCTCTTCAGGAATCGACCCCTCAGCACCTGCACCTCCTTGATGCCGAAGATGGGCTGACCAGTCGCGGGAAAGTTCTCCTGTGGCGTCTGCAGGTCCAGCAGCACATATCTCGCATTCGCAATCGGGTTCAGGTACACCAGAGCGGCCTCGCGCAGCCTGGCGGTGTCGACAACGACTGTGCGGACGAGCGACGCGGGGTTGGTGAGGGTGGCCAGAGTGGTGGAGAGGTAGACGTCAAATTGCTGCGGGGGGTAGTCCCAGATGATCTCTATCGTCCCGACTCCCTGTACGGCCCCCAGGTCGACCTGCCATGTGGCCGTGGCGACACCGTCCTGCGAGAGCCATGATGTGTCGATGAGGCCGTCGACTGCGCTGCCTGCCTCCCTGGCGACGCTGTATGAGCTGCTGGCCGATGCGGGCTGGCCCTGCGCCAGCAGGATGGCCGTGCTGTGGAGGCCGAAGAGGATGTCACTCGTGCTGTCGAATGAGGCGTGGGGGGTGCCCGCTGCCGTCTGATAAGGGCTGCCGTACTGGACAACACACGCACAAAAAGGACGGCGTGTGTATGCGTGTATCCGCATGTGTGTGTGTGTGCGGTAGCTCACCACGACGCCGTTTCGATAGAGTGTGACGGTTTGGTTTGCCCCCCACGTGGCCACGATGTGCACCATTTGCCCCGTCTCGTCGGCGTAGACCGGGCCAGCCCATCCTACAGGCGTCGCCCTGTTGGGATCGTCGCTGTCGATACGCCACTGGCCTGTGCCATCGCCCCCCTCAAACACGATCGCGTCGAATTGCTGAAACCACACAGACACACGGCTATATCTTGTTGTTCGATTCGCTGTCGTCGGCTCCACTGACCGATCCATCGGCGGTTTGCACGGACATGACGCCGCCCCCTCCCTGATTCACCCACACTCGCGCCTCTCGCAGCCCGAAAGCGTCACAGCCGAGATGGTAGGGGGTCGCCGGCGCACTCATTGCCGGAGCTGTGCAGCCGGCGTGGAACGACGTGGCAATGACGCGGACGAAGCGAGCGTTGCCGATGAGGGGGGAGTCGTACGTGGCATTGACCGTCGGGGCCTGGAAAAGGAGAAGGACCACAGAGAAAGGAACTAAGGGTGCTTGTGGCGCTGTGGTGGTGTCTCGCTGTCTTCTCACCGGTATGTTGATGGTATCCATGGTGACGTATGTGCCGGGGTTGTCCGGGGCGTCCCGGTCGACAGAGTACTGGATGGAGTAGGTCTTTGGCTCGTACCACCACTTGAGTGTGACGGCCGACAGCGGCTGGATGTACTCGAGATCGATGTCGATGTGGGCGGGCGCCTCACCCAGCGCAGAAACCCACGAGGTGTCGTCGTTATCGTCAAGCGCCCACTCGGCCGGGTATTGCCACGTCGACGAGGCCGTCACCGACGCGCCCACAGCCACATTATAGTTGAGCGAGGTGCGGAACTCCTGTGCGTGACAGACATCCACAAACTTATTTATCGCGTCTTTTTTGTCTCTCTATGCAACTGACCTTGACGCCGATTTGCAGGAATCCATTCTCGTTGAGTGTGAGAGTGTTGGTGACCTCCAGTCTCACATACCGACCCACGGCGAGGAAGGCGTGTGTGGTCTGGTCCAGCGTGTTGGCCGCCACCGAGTCGACAAGCAGCGCACTAGCCGTGCCGAAGTCGACAGTGTCGTTGGCCAACCAGAGGTTGAATGACCGTGCCTTGAGGTCCCAGTCGATCTCGATGCCCTCCAGCTCGAACGTGCCGCCCATGTCCACTGTCCATGTGGCTGACGTGAGGCCCTCCTGCGCTCGCCAGGCGGTCGTGTCGTCGCCGTCGTTGGCGTTCGTGGCGACGTAGGTGGCGTTGGCCTCAGTCGATGCTGTGGCCGGTTCGCCAAGGGCACTGTTCGTACCTGAGACCACCCAGTGAGGCGTGTGGGTGAGCGTGTGTGTCGTGCCGTGTCGTGTGAGTCATTGAGACTTGCCTTGGTCGACTTTGAATTCCTTGATGGCGTAGAGGGGCTGCTCGAGTGTCCGCTGCGCATCCATCGGACGCAACAAGTCCAACCTGATCAACACACACACATCCATACATTCCCGCGTATCGTCTGTGCGCAGGCACCACACGACGAGGCTCACTTGACGTATCTGGCGGAGAGCCGCACATTGGCCTGTGTGTGGTACACCAGCTGGGTGGTGTTGTAGATCAGCTCCTCGGCCAGCAGTGTCCAGGCCACGTTGTCCACCGACCCACTGATGCGGAAGTGAGCAGCGGGGTACAGCCAGTGGATGTAAATGCCGCCCTTGAAGACCTGCACCGAGGCCAGGTCCACCTTTAGCTCGGCCGTCTGCGCCTCAACGCGAGAGTACCAGCTGGTGTCGAAGTCGCCGTCGAGTGCGTTTGTGAGGGGATAGGACCAGTAGGGGTTGCCTGGGGCAGCTGACAGGGTGTGAGGGACGCCACTGGCGATGCCTTCGAGTTCATAGATACCTGAAGAAGAAGAATCGAGAACACGTCAGATAAGGATAAGGAAACTACACATCATTTTGTCATTCTGCCCGCCTTACCAATGAGAGTGAGTCCGTAGTAGGTGGATGCAGGTGCGGCAGTCGTGATGTCGACCGACACAAGCTGCCCCGTCAGCCCCACGGGCATCGTGTAGGTCGTGTTGTAGTCACTGTTGCCCACCACCGTCTCAACGACAGCCCCGTCCACTGCTATGGTGAAGTCGGCAGCGGGGTACTTCCACAGGATGGTGATGGTGTCAATCGGCTGCACGCTGCCGATGTCGGCTTCGAAGGTCAATGCGTCCTGACCAAAGGGGCCAAGCCAGAAGGTCTGCAGCTGCTGATCTGAAAGACGACACACGCACACACACATTCGCCAGTTGATGGATCCTCATAGTGCATTCAGTCTCACCTATGGCGGCGAATGGCAGGTACTCTTGTGCGGGGCTGCTGTAAGTCCAGTGTGGTGGGGCGGTGCCGGCGACGGTCTGCACGCCTGCGCCCACATCGACCGCCTCGTACAGCTCGATCTCTTGTATGCCGAAGGCCGGCCACCCGCTGCCGTCGACGTCAATGGGCTGACGCAGCCGCAGGGTGAGGAACTGACCTGACACGTATAACACACAGAGAGAGCACCGGTGTCGATTCTCATTTCCTTTTCGCCCCCCATGTATCCGCTTACAATCGAACAGCCGCGAGAGCTGAACGAATGCAGCCACATTGCCCGTGAAGGCCTCGACAGTGACGTCGCTCCCTCCTCCCACTCGGCTGATCACATCGACCTCCCCAGCGGCATACTCAAAGTCCACCCGCAGTCCCACCAGCTGCCGCACGCCGCTCAGATCAACTTGCACCGTCGCCTCGGTGATGTTGGGGAGAGTGCGCCAGTAAGTGGCCAGGTTGCCGTCGACGGTGTTGTTTGGCGGGTGAGTGTCGATCATGTCGACAGACGATGCGGTTGCCGGCCTGTTGAGGGCTGCGTTGCGGGCGGGTATGAGGTAGATCTCGAATAGCCCGATGCGGCGGAAGTTGGAGGGGTCGCGCTGAACGCCATTGAAGGTCTCGAGGTAGAGGTAGCGAGCTCGGAAATATCCCCTCCGAGTGTTGGTGTCGTCGGTGTTGCCGCTGAGGGACATGTATGTGCTCGTGAAGACGCCCGCCTCGGAGATGCGGATCTCATACGACTGATGATAACACACACAAAAACAGAAAATGGGGCAATGACTGCATTTCCCCTGCTGCCTGCCTGCCTGCCTGCCCGGCCTCTTACCTCAGCTCGATACATCCATCGTAGATCGATGCCCATGAGCTCCTGCACGCTGCCCAGGTCGATTGTCAGCGTGGCCGTCACCTGGTTGGGCAGCGTCATCCAGTAGGTCGACATCAAGCCGTCGGCACCCAGGGCTGCACCGTAGCCCGCCTCCTCCGACGTCGCCGTCACCGACACACCGGCCCGAGCAGCAGGATTCAGCTGATAGACACGAATTTCTGAAGCCCCCAATATGGGCTGCATTGAGAGAGACATCCCACACAGACAGAAACGCGCGTCTCCGATTTCTTCATTTACTTGTTTCATTCCAACATGTACCTGGTCATCGAAGTCATTGAGAGCAGCTTGTGTGATGGCGATCCGCACGTATCTCGCCGTGAACTGAGCCTCGACCTCGCTGCTGCTAGCTGCGTTGCCGGCCACGGTGGCCCGTGTGGTCCATGTGGTGCTGTCAGGTGAGCTCTGGACGGTGAAGTCCTGCGCGGGCCAGGTCCAGTCGATGCCGATGCCCTGGATGTCGTACGACGCCTCCAAGTCGATATCAACCGACGCCGCATTCGTGTTGGCCTCTGTAAGCCACGTTGTGTTGGTGTCGGTGTCGACGAGGTTGGCGGCTGGATGTGTGATGACCACTGGCGTCACGAGGGCGGTGTGTGTGGCGGCGGTGCGCTGGTTGAACGCCCCGTTGATGGCTGTGTAGACCTCAAATGACGTCAGCCCGATGACCTGGCGGCCGGAGGGATTGGTGAACCCGCCCGTGGCACTCACATCCAGCTGAATATACCTGTGCACACAGACACAGCAACAGCAAGGGCAAGGGCAAAGAATGCAATTGTGCTGAGTGCGTGTGTGTCACTTGCGGACCTGAACGTGCCGACGTGGTTGACTTCCACGTCGAGCGGTGCGGATATGTCCGTCTTGCTGTAGAAGGTCGTCCATGTGGATAGGTCAGTCGACCCAAGAAGATCGTAGAAAAGACCCGGATACTTCCACCTCAGGATGAAGGTGGCGCACTCGCGCGTCGCGTTGAGGGCAAACTGACACAGCACCACACGCATGCAGAGCAGTCTATCGTGACCACTGGTGGCTGTTCTCTCGGCGCCGTACCAGTATGTTAGCCTTTTGCAGGTCGGCTACGCCCCCCGCCTCCCACCATGTGTTGGGGTCGCCATCGACGGCGTAGTTGACGGGCTGCGGCCAGCCGGGCGGGTCTGACGTCCTGTGGGTGAAGGTATTGCCAAAGACGTCCTCGCCCGTCGCTTCCGCATATATGCCCTACACACACGGATTGAATTGAAGCACACGTGTGTGGATGGATGGATGGATGGATGGAGGGTTGCGTACCAGTGCGATGTTGTTTGTGTCGCGCAGCTTGACGGTGACCTCCTGTATGCCGATCACCGGCAGGCCGAATCCGTCCGTCTGGCCGTTCTGCGTCACGTCGATCTTCAGATACCGCGCCACGAACATCTGTGTGACGGAGTGGCTCGCAGACGACTCCATCGTGTAGCTGGCCAACGTCGTCCATGTCGCATCATCTGCACCAACAGCAACATCACAGCGTCGCGCTCGCATGCACAGCACACACGTCAATTACCAGTTGAGTGTTGGATGGAGAAGTCTCTGGCGTAGTATTCCCAATCGACGGAAGTCTTGACGACCGTATCTGCGGTCCCCAGGTCCACCTTGAACACCGCCGCAGTGGTGCCGGACGGCGTCAGCCAGTATGTCGCCAGCGACCCATCCACGGCATTCGATGACGGATGCAGCAGCGCCTTGGCCTCATTTGTCGCACTGCAAACAGACAGACAGACAGACACACCCGTTGTCCGCATGTGCGTGTGTGTCCCGTCCGTCCATCCACTCACGTGATGGGCTGTCTGTGCGCGAGGTTCTTGGCGGCCTCCCATACGGTCACCTCGTTGACAGTGAATGCCGGCCATCCATCCCCCTGTGGCCCCACGCCGGTCGGCCCCTCCACAGCCACACGCACATACCGACCCCTCGCGGATGACGGCACAGCAGCGAAGTCGGTGACGTTGGTGCCTGGAGGGAGGGATGCATCGCCGTCGAGGAGGGTGAATGTGGCGTTGTCGTCAGAGATGGAGAGGTTGAAAGCTGCGGGTGCGTCCTCCCATAGGATGGTGATGTTGTCAATCAGACGCTCCGTGCCGAGATCGACGTACCTGCATTCATACATACACACATGTGGGTGGAGGTGGGATGGTCGTGTGGTTGGGGTGTGTGTGTGAGATGTTGTCACCAGTTTGCGTGTGTTTGCTTTGGTCCTGATGCCCAGTAGGTGTTGGGATCGCCATCGACGGCGAGGCTCGCGGGATACTCTTCCATGTCATTCGTGTCAGTGCCATACGCCACTTGACCCTGACAACACACACATACATACCGGCACAACAACACACATCGGAGATACACACATACCCTGACACATCTCGATGATCCTCACCAGTGCCACATTAGTTCCCCTGCCGAAGGCAGTCAGCTCCCTCACCGCCACAAACACCCGATTGTCCAGCATCTCAGCACCCTCTATGAGCTCCAGACGCACAAACTGGACCAACGGCGGCGACGCGGCATCCGCCTCAAAGTCCGTCAAGGCCACCCCTCCCCCGCCCCCAGTGTAGCTCTGCTGCACCACATACGTCGCCGGCAGCCCGTCGGGCGAGGTCTCGAGTGTGAATGCGGCAGGGGATGCCTTCCACGTGAGGCGGATGACGTCGATGGCCACAGCGGGGCCGCCGAGGTCGACCAGCAGAATGGCCGTGTCGGTGCCGGGCGGCAGGGCCCAGTAGGTCAGTGGATCGCCGTCCACTGCCAGCTCAGGGGAGTACTCGGCCTTTGCGAAGACGGTCCCCGATTTGAAGTGCGACAGAATGATGTCTGCGTAGGTCTCGACTTCCTTGACGGCCAGCATCGGGCCGAAGTCAGGGTGGCTAAATGCGGGAGACGACAGCTGCAGCTGAAAGAATCGCCCCGCGCTGGGCACGAGGAAGTCCAGGTCGTATTGGTCGTTGGTGTTGTTCTGCTGGAAGAGGACCCAGGTGGATGTGCCGTCGAGTTGTGTGCGGAGGGTGTATGACTGAGGGGGCCAGGCGAAGAAGACCTTGACACGGCCCAGGTTCGTGTCGGTGCCCAGGTCGATGAGCACTTCTGCGGATGTCTGGCCCAGCTGGGCGGCCCAGTAGGTAGACAAATCGCTGTCAACCACCTTCTCTGATTGTGGAAAGATACACGACAGGAGATACATGGATGGTTGTCAGTCTCCATTTCCATGTGCTTGCCTGGCAAGACGGTCTCTTCCCATAGGCTGTTTGTGGTGACGGGCTTCCCTGCAGCGGCGTTGGTGGCGGCCTCCTCTGTCGACACACGCACCCACACCTCCAGACTCTTCTCTGTCAAAGCCCCGTCAGCAAGATTGCCCAGCGGCTCCGTACGCACGTACTGCTCCTGCACACACACACACACACACACACACACGCGCAGAGAGTCTAGTCTGTCTGCAGGCTCATCCACGTCGCCGTGTCATCCACACACCTGTGACTTGTTGAGTTGCAGCTCGTTGTCCCGCACCTCGGCCCCCTGATAGGCCGACCCATTCAGATTCCCAAACAGATCCCTTAACGGGTCGACCGGCAGACCCGCCTCATCGGTCTGAGTGAATGGCCACTCGGCCAAAGGTGAGTAGCACGCCTCGCGACTGGTGAACTCGCAGATAGAGTTCAAGCAGGCCATCTCGTCAGACCACACAGTGCCGTTGGTGGCGCTGAATTTGCTCAGGATGGCGTCGTTGATCAGAGAGGGGACAGTGTTGCTGAGCATGTTGGGAGCGCAGAGTGCCCCATAAATGGGGAATGGGCGGCCGGGGCACTCAGCGAGGTAGTGTGTGGCGAGGCCGCTGAAGAGCCTCGTGACAGGGAAGCCCGTGTTGGTCAGGATCTCGGTCTCGCAATGGGTCCATGGATCGATGCCGTCCCCAATGGCTCTCGACACACAGTCGTACACCTGATCCTTCTGCAGCAGGGTGAGCTCCTCCATGTTGATGCCGGCCAGCAGACACGTCGAGCATGCGGCCCCGTCAGGGTAGTGCAGCAGCGGCACGGCCAGCGGTACGCCGCAATCGAGGGCGCAGTCGCCTTCGGGGTACTGCTCAAGACAGCTATAGCAGTCGGGGCGGTCGGCCGTCACTGTCCGCTCTGGGAACACATTGAGGGTCTGCGAGAGGTTGCGAGTGCTCGGATACAGTGTTCCTGACACACACACGCAAATCGATCCATTGACAGTGTCTAGCACGACGTTGCTTCACACCTACCGGTAGAGCAGTCGCAGTCATCTCCCCAGATGTACCCATCGGGAGCCCTGAATGACGGCAGGCCCGTGACGTCATCGAGGTACAGCCCGCCCTCAGGCGTCCGCACCGGATCGCGACCCCACCGGTAGGGAGACGACGGATCGATGCCGAAATTGGAGGGCGTTGGCGTGAGCGGATTGCCGATCCGATACATCTGACACATAGAGACAAGGAAAGGACGGCGGGAATGATAAACGGACGCGTGTGCAATGTACGTGTTGTGTGTTGCGTGCGTGGATTGTTGTGCGTGCCGACCGTGCGTGCTCTGCATGTGCCGAATGGGAGTATGAGGTTGCAGTGGGAGTTGTATTTGCAACCCGTGCACAGGGTGTGCTTCTGGAAGGTGTCCGGCAGCGATGCACCGAAATCCCACGTCATGTTGGACGTCTCGAAACAGCGACAAGTGGTGCCGTAACGAAGCGCACAACTGCACAGGGGAAAAACCAGACATGTGTGCATTATCTGTGTCCATGCCGCTCCATGTGTGTGTTGCGCTGGTGCTCACTCGTATTGGTATCCGTTGACATAGAGCTTCTGCAGGTCGAAGTACCTCACACACTTCTCGCATGAGCAGTGACCAAAGTAGAACCTCATGGGATCGGTCGCGTGCTCCGTCACGCACCACTGGGTCTCGCTCTTGGATTGGAACAAACTACCCTTTCCAGCCTTGTTGAGGATGAAGGCGTCCTGAATCACCTCTTTCCGCTGGCCCTCCCCGTCCGTCACCCACAGAGCTGCCGTCGAGGCAGGAAAGCGGACCTCCCTCACGCAGCCCAGCCAGTAGGGGTGCAGGGGGTCCCAGCTGACCTCGCCCCCTTTGCACGTCACCCCATCCAGCGGCGGTGCGCCTTCGAAGTGCGCGGCGATGCGGATTTCCTTGCGGGCGGCGTTCTGGATGTGTATCTTCTCGTCCAGTGGGTCGCTGGATGTGGACTCGCACGACGTGATGTTTGATGCCGGGCATGCCCGCGTCTCGGTGAATTGCCATGAGAGGATGTCGACGGCGAAGCACTCGGGGGAGCCGCACGCGCCGGTGAAGCCGACGTAGGAGCGGCCGGGGCCTTTCTCGTCTGGCAGCAGGTCACCGCCCTGAGACGAGGTGGCTGTGAGGGTGTTGCCGGGATTGGGGTCAGCGATGTTGTTGATGTCCACCGGCACACGCAATACCTGCAGTGAGAGCAAGTATTCTTGCCTATATGTTGCTGTGTTGGTGTGTGTGGTCACCTCTATCTCGTCGACGGTGACGATGAGCAGCCCGAGGTCCCCCCTTGCCCAGCTGTCGAGCCATTCTGGGTTGAGCCGGGTGATGTGTGTGGAGGTGGGCAGCAGATCGTCGAACGACACTTCCCGGCTGAACGATATAAACACCTCGTGAGTGCCTGAAGAGAGCCAAGGACCAACAAGGACACACAAAGTCTGCCTAGCCCCTGTGTGCATTGGTGCCCCTCACCTACCTTGTTTGAGGTCTGGCAGGTCCCTCCCCTTGTGTATCTCGTTGGCATGGTTGTCCTGATTGGCGGCCGTGATCCTCGACTGCACCGACAGATGGTTGGCGTTCGGGTCCATCGCATCAGCGTCCCTGTACGTGTCAAACTCAATAGCCAGTCCCTGCGTCAGCCGATAGCCGAGCCCGTCCTCTCCTGTTGGCCAGAAGGCCACCGCCCCAGAGCCTACATCCGTCAGCAGCACGTTCTGCAGCACAAAGGCGAACCCCTGCTGGGCGCTGTCGAAGCACCACCTCGATGGCATAGACGCCGCAGTGCAGTGCACCGACTTGTGCAGCAGCATGAAGGTGAAGCGGGTCGAGAAGCCGTAGGTGATGAGCTGGCGAAATCGGTAGATAGCCGCTCCCCAGGCCAGCTCGTCGATGGCGCGCTTGGAGGCCGATGGGGCCACCACTCTGAGGCCATAGTGGCAGAACTGATCTCGGTCATGCGGCACGACGGCCGAGTCATCATCTGGGAAGAAGTCGGTGGTGATGTATGAGGCGACGAAGTTGTTGTTGGTGACGTTGGCTGCGAATGGGTTGTCGAGGTAGTCTTGGGCGAGGTAGGTTTGGAAGGGGTAGGAGGGCGGCACACGCAGCTGTGTGAAGAAGAAGGGCTCCGACGTGTTGCCGTAGGGCACATTGCGCGGGCAGGTCTCCTGCACACACACACACACACACTCACCATCCATTCATGAATGAATCACCCTCGCTGAACGTACCTCGAATGATCCGCTGAAGAAGTCAAACGTGGCATCTTCGATGAGGTGGAAGTTGTTGGGGCCGTTCGTCTCAAGCTCGTCACGAAAGCTGACGAAGTTAAAGTCTGCAGCAGCGAAGGGCAGCAGGAGCAGACAGATCAGCAAGGACAGGTGCTGCATTCACAGGCTACTAGAAGATGCCCAGATCACTTTGGCAATGGATAGATCCATAGATCCGTCATCAGGGATCTGGGTTGGGCAGTGCAAGTGTCCCGAGATATGAAATGTCCCAGGCTCCGAGCTGGACTCATCACCCAGCAGCGTCCCCTCTCTTTTCCCTTCTTCGTAGCGGCTTTCCCTTCTTCCTCCTGCGAGCTGCAGAGGAATCTACGGGGAAAATAGGTGCCAAGGACGCAACCTTCGGAAAATAAGCATGGCGGCTCCGCTATTTGGCCTCTTTTTCATCTGTAGTGGCGCTGCATTCCACCTGCGACAGCCCAGCCGGGTATTATTCCCTTCGGCAGATCAGACGGTTCGGCAGCAGCGCCAGCTGCGGCTGACAAGAGGAGTGGCGTTGCAGGTGTCAGCAAGGGGCGACCAAGACGTTGAGGAGAGTTTCAAGGCGGGAATGACAGAACCCGACAATGTGAGTGCAAGGAAGAAGCGGAGAATGGAATCCATCTGTGTGTGTGTGTGTGTGTTGGTGCGCAGCGGTCTCCTGCCGGGGACTCACTCTATGTGCGGATAGGTGGTGCCGCAGCAGTCGAGGCCGCGGTCGACAGATTCTACACCAAGATCCTTGCCGTGAGCAGCCAAGCAATGCAGCCGCCTGTTGATGGCGGAGGCTCTGACGTGCGTGTGCTGCTGGCTGGTCTCAGGACGACCGTGTCAAACGATTCTTCTCCGAAACTGACATGAAGAAACAGCGCTCTCACATGGGCAAGTTCTTGACGTTTGCATTCGGGGGATCGAGCAGCTACTCGGGTACGCACCTACCGAACTGTGGCCAAATGGCGGGTGACTGCACTGCTGGACTGCTGCTGTGTTTTGTATTGTCCTGTGCCGCATTTCAGAGAGAGGCATGCGAGAGGCGCACAAGAAGCCAGTCTCTCAAGGCATGGATGAAACGCATTTTGACGCGGGTAGGTAGATGGAAGCCATCTGGCTGTCCAGGCACCCATCCATCCGTGTGTCAGTGGCTGCATGCGCGGTGCGTGTGTTTGCAGTGATGGAGAATCTGGCTGCCACGCTCAAGGACCTCGGTGTGCCCGACGACCTCATCGGCGAGGCGGCTGCCATCGCCCTGTCAACCAAGAAGGACGTCCTCAACCAATAGGTCCGATCCGCGTGTGAGGGTACCACTAGGGCGGTCTCCGGTTTTGTGCCCTTGCTTCTTTTTATCTCCATGTGTGTACTTCACCGCTTGCCTATTGGCATGCCCCCTAGGCGGTGTTCTGAATGGTCGTGTTGGATGTGTGCATGGGTTGTGTTGTCTCTTTATACCTACACGAATGCAAGGATGCGTGGATGTCTGATCTATACTACAGACAGTCAGTCAGTCAGACTGAGTCGGTCGCGTGCTGTTGTGTGCATGTTGCGGCTTGTGTGTGTGGTGAGTGGCGAAGCCAGTCGTGCCGCTGAGTCGCTCCTGGTACGCTCATACACACATACGTACACACGTACACAACATGCAACATGATTAGTTGCTCCGTTTCTCTCGCTGTGTGACGCAGTAGCTGCCCCAGTGCTTACATGCATCAGCAGGGAGAGAACCACGGGGCAGGCAGTCGTGTGTGAGTCTAAGGAGCTAGAGTGAGGCCGGCCGCTTGCACACAGAAGGCCGAATGAGCTGTGGACCACCTGTCGCATCAAACTCTCTGCGCAACCCCAAAACTCTCTGCGATTGCGCAGAGAGTTTTTCGTGGCCGTGTAGGGATGGGGATCCCTCAGCTTGCGTCTCTCCGCGTGGCAAGTGCATCTTCCGGCCTCCAGTGGATGAATGAAATCCATGAGAGGCGTGAGCGCGGATACCCGCGGAAAAAGAAGTTTCGAGACGGAGATGGCGAGAAACCTTTCCATATGTTCTTGAGATCTGTCCAGTCCCCTCATTCATCACCATGTCGTTCATCCTTCCGTCCATCCAGCTGTGATGCGTTTGCTGTCGGCCATTCTCCCCGCCCTCGTGCTGGTGTCGCTGCTGGGCGCCATGTGCGGTCCGACGGACAATCAGGCCACAGGTACATTATTGAGGGCACACCTAAAGAGGGCGCTTCTCGAACGCCGAGTGAAGGAAGGCCAGTGAGAGTAACTGTTGTTTCGTGTGCATTTGGCAGGCGATGCGGTGCGCCGTCTCCAGCACTGGGGGGGGGACGTACGCGTCGTGGCCGGGGGGGACCCCCTACGGGAAGGGGGGGAAGGGCTATGAGAGGCCCGGAAAGGGCTACGGAAAGGGCTACGGAGGGAAAGGGAACCGCCGTCGTATGTCTGCAGCTGCTGCCAACACCATCGGCATCACTGGTCAGTCCGCATATACGCACACACACACACGCCGTCGTGGCCTGAGTGCATCACATCTGCCTGCTGACTGCTGTTTGTGCGCAGCAGATGTTTCTGCCATAGACAAAGCCTTTGGCGACAACGCAGGTACCTGCATGACATGTGCAGGCCTCGGACACCGATGTACACACTGACTCACTGGCTGTCCTAGTGTCTGTATCTGTCAGGCGGTGACGCGCACGTGCGTCATCTGCAGCTGGCAATGGACGCTGGCGGTAAGTACGCACAGACACACACGCACACGCACGCGGCGTCGTGGCTCGAGTGCGAGTGCATGACATCTGCCTGCTGATTGTTGTGTGTGTGTGTCGTGTTTCGTGCACACGTGCGCAGAAGTGTCAGCCCCCATAGCCGAAGCCATCGGCGATGGCGACGCGTTTGCTGGCGAGGGCACAGATTTTCGTGCTGCATGAGTGTCAATTGGGCTTGTGTACCCACCACATACCTACATACCTGTGTCTGTGTTTAGTTCAAGGCAGTTCATCCAATTGAGCACGTGTTCTCACTCACGTACGTACGTTCGTAATGTGCACCTCCACGTGTGGATGATGTGTGCTGTGGATGCATCCCTATGCCTGGTTGACATTCTCCGCCCTTGTCTGCGTGTGTGTCTGTGTGTGTGTTTCTTCTTTTTTTCCAGTCAGCCATGCATTCGGTCGAGCTGCCCCCTTGTCCCACATGCTACGTGCCTAAGCTATCTTTCACCTATTTCTCACCAGCCCACTCATCGTATGTGTGTTCACCGGGTGGGTGTGCGGATGCCGGATGCCCGGATGCCTGTGAGGTGTATGTAAGTCGTAATCAATACAGTACATGCGTGTGTGGATGTCTGATCTATACTACAGTCAGTCAGTCAGTCAGACTGAGTCGGTCGCGTGCTGTTGTGTGCATGTTGCGGCTTGTGTGTGTGGTGAGTGGCGAGGCCAGTCGTGCCGCTGAGTCGCTCCTGGTACGCTCATGCACGTGCACACAACATGCATACATGATTAGTTGCTCCGTTCCCCTCGCTGTGTGACGCAGTAGCGCCTCAGTGCATACATGCATCAGCAGGGAGAGAACCACGGGGCAGGCAGTCGTGTGTGAGTCTAAGGAGCTAGAGTGAGGCCGGCCGCTTGCACACAGAAGGCCAGCATGGGGCGTGCGCTGGGCAATGGTGTGCCTGCGTGCGCTGGGCAATGGTGTGCCTGGCCGAGCTGTCTTGTTTGAACTTTTGTCGGGTGGACCATCGTGGATCCATGTGTGTGCGTGGCTTCTGCCTGTCTGCTTGCGTAGCCTTGACTCCTCGGAAGCAGAAAGAGGACTAAATAGGCCAAGTTCGTTCAGGCCTCCCGAATGTGTTTTACTCGGCTCACCCTAAGCCGATGAGGACTTGAGCAACACCACAGATCTCGTCCACACATGTACGGCTGACTGCAGATGAAGCTGAGCTGTGGCCATCCTGAACACCGGGAGATGCGACGGCCACACATCTCCCTCTCCTCTTTGGTATGGAGCATCCTGCATCTCATCATCTGGCTATTGGCGCGTCCAGCGGCCTCGGTGAAGCATCGGACTCTGCTGAAGGCGGCGATGCCAGCAGCTTCTCGCAAGGGCTTTGGTGCGACGAGGCAAGATGCTCTGTTCGAGAGGTTTCTCAGAAGCAGGAGGAAGGGCGATGAGTTGCCGCAAGGGACGGCTGGCATCAGAAGAAGTCGGCAATCCCGCCTCGACGAGAGAGTGTTCCCGTGCAAGCCATCAAGACGGATCTCTGCGTGGCGGCGCCGACGACCACTCGCGACGGTTCCCACTCCCGCAAGCAACCCTGCGGAGGTCGCTGCAATTCGGTCAGCCAAGAGCGGCAAGAGCCTGCGTCGGCGAGCCCAGTTCCTGTGGCTCAAGTCCATCATCGCAGGGGGGCTCAGCTCGGGCATCGTGACGATCTGCCTGCACCCCCTGGAGACGGTGAAGGTGCTGCTTCAGAAGGAGGCCAAGGGGCAGAGCATGCGGGAGGTCTTCTACTTTCTCGCCACACATGGAGGCGAGAAGACGGAGCCCCGGACGAGGGATGTCCTGCAGGGGCTCTACAGCGGCAGCGTCACTTCGGCACTCAGCGCCATGCCCAGCGCGGCCATCAAGATGGGGTCTTACGAGCTCTGCAGGCTGGCTGGCGCGCCTGCATGGTTCGCCGCCAGCTTTGGCATGGTGGTCTCGGCCAGTGCAAGAGCGCCCTTCGAGCTCGCAAAGACCCGACTGCAGGTGAATGGATGAGTAAGAGACCACACTCATAGCCTCAACACCACCCCTCTCTGTCTGAGTGTATCTATCTATCAGGCTGGCCTCAACACCAACACGTGGTCAGCGTGCCGCGACCTCCTCCGCAGCCAGGGCATCGGGGGCCTCTATCGCGGCAACCTCGCCACAATCATCCGCGACCTGCCCTACTTCGCCATCTCGGTGTCGGTGTACGAGTACCTGAAAAGGCAGATCGCCGAGAGGCGGGCCCGCTCCAAGGGGAGGCAGCTGGGCGGGAGCCTCAAGGTGCGGCTGCGGATCCCCGACCCAGCCAGCCCCCCAGACGGCAGTGACGACGAGATTTTTGAGTACCCCATCAAGGTCTCCTACTCGGCAAACTCGCTGATAGGGAGGCCGCCAGTGGAGCCGGAAAGGGTGAGGGCGAGAAATGACACCAAGCGGCCGACAGAAGACGAAAAAGCGTCTTCGAAGGCTGCTGCGGGTGATGACGAGAACCACGGTGTGTTTGGGTGGTGGCGGTGGGGTCACAAGGAGGTGACTTACGAGTACCAGGTGCCGCCACCTCAGAACCTACTCGAGGGCCTGCTCGTCATTGCAGCGGGGGCCGCATCATCAGCCTTCGCTGGTGAGAATGACACGGCACACACAGACCACACAGGACAGCGGCAGAGAGCGTGGTGTGCTGTTGTGCTGCGCTGTGTGTGTGTGTGCAGGCGCGTTGTCGACCCCTGCAGACGTGGTCAAGACGCGTGTACAGACGAGCTTCAGGGGCACGCCGGGTTCCAGCGTCGGTGTGGGGACGGCCTTTAGGCTGATCCTGAGGAAGGAGGGGCTGGCGGCCATGTACAGAGGGGCCGCACAGGTGCTTGCCTACACACACACATTCATGACATCATGACATCAATCCTCTCTGCTGCTGTGCCTGTATGTGTATGTGTGTCATGCAGCGAGCTATGTATTTGGGCATATTGGGTGCCCTCTACTACCCCCTGTATGACCTACTGATGAGTTATATGAGTTGGGAGCGCATGACGCGGTCGATGGCCGCCATGCGGGAGATCTCACGATGGGTCACTTTGAGGCCGCCCCTGAGAAGAACCACAGCCGACGCGGTCCCGCCGGCCGCCTTCTGCTGTCCTCCCCCCTTGCTGCCAAGACGGATAGGAGACTTAGAGCAGCAGTCTGGTGCATCAGTCAGATCTTTATTGAGGACGCGTGATGGCTTCATGAGGAGGGATACGGATGCGTTGTGGTGATGATCTTGATGTCCGATTGACGCATGCAGCATTGGCAAGTCAAGCATGGCATGGATCGAAGCGCTAGCCTGAAAGTCAGTCCTACGTGTAATTAATGTACACCGAGAGCGAGCACACCAGCAGCGAGTATGAGCAATAATCGGTCGGTCAATCGTCACACACGGTGACCCCACCAAATCACACATCCATTCAGACAGAGGGCCGACAAAACAATGGGGACATGCACAAGCGCCACACCCAACCGCACACGCGATCACAGCCGAGGATTCACGTCAACACTCACTATCTCACGCACAGACACACATGCACACGACACGACGCAACGCGACATTCATGGACGTTTGGATGATTCAAGTTGTGCCGGCTTATCTGACCGATGACGTATCAAGGGCGACAGTGAGGTGTTCGAGGTGTGTCGTCGCATGCAGCAGCTCGGCCAAGCGCCGCCTGATGTGCTGACGACCGTGAGCTGTGCGGTGTTTGGCAGCCATGATGAGGGACATGGGGGGCGGGCGGGTGATAATGATGAGGGGGAAAATGGGATGGATGTGGATGATTCTCGACTCATGCATGCCTTGTGTGTGGATGACTTGGATGGCTTCATTGATCGCATGAAATGACTTCAACACGCAATATGTCACAAGTGTGTCTCACATCTCACAGCATACACAGACCTGTGTCTCCAATTTCAGAGATCACGAAATTACACACACACAAACCGACACCGACATGCACTACAAAGTCAGTCCGTCTGGTCGTCGAACAGGTACTCAAACTCTCCGAAATCGAACTCGTAATCCGCACTTCGCAAGGGAATGCCCGTGGAGGGCTCGCCGGAGCCCGGCGGTGGTAGTCTTCTTTGCGCGAAAGGATTGCCTGCAGAAGAGAAAGTGCGTATCGACACATGAGGGGAGCAACTGATTGCGATGGTGCGTACGTGGCTCGACTCCTGGTGTGGGAGTGATGTTGAATGGCAGGTGGCACCCAAAGTCGTAAAAGATGATCAAGACACGCTGCACGACAGCAATCGTTAATCAATGTGCAGACAATGAGAATAAAGTCTGTGCTTCTCCTACCATGTTTGCAGTGGATGGCCTCAGGTTGTAAAATGCTGCGTCTCGGAAAGCCTCGAAGCACACCTCGATAGTCAACGGGCTCAAGAGAACCGCATCTTCGTAGAAGTCGTCGTCTGGCGGATCCTCTGTATATGCCTTCGAGGCAGCACGATTGGCAACAATATCAGCATCGCCAGAACGAGAGCTGGTTGCAATAATGATTGCAGGGTAACCAAGCTCATCAGGCAAAGACTGCATTCACATGAGAATAAAGCAAAACACACACACAGCAGGCGATTCTTATACTTTAATGTGCACGTCCAGACGTACCTTTCCATTACGAGGACTTATGCAGTTTCTTGCGCCAATCTGTGTGATGAATTCCGTATTGTTTGTTGGATCGAAGGGGTTGATTTGGGTGACGGGACAGCCATAGACGCCGCGAGGACGACCTGCAACCGACGAAAACAGATGAAGGGCTTGCATGGGCATGCAGGACGTCAGCTGTGGCCTGCCTGTCTACTCAGTTAGCCTCCTCACCTTCCAGCTGCTCTCTCGCGGCCAATGCATTGGCAGACGGAGCGGCCTGGACCACATAGACATGCGAGACACGACAAGAGACATGACATTTGTCAATCTACGCGTCCATGTGTGAGTTGCCCCTTTGTTGCTGCTCGCTGCTCCCTCTGATTTGCTCGCTGTATGTTTCAGTCACCTGTCCATTCTCGATGTTCTGTTTGGCAGCGTCTGTCTCTTGCAGCTTGAGTGCGTCCAGCCCATCGTCAGCCGACGCCTCGTCATCCTTCTTGCCCTCGCGAGACCAATCGAGCAGCCCATCGACGAGCAGAGAGGCGTCAACGTCATCGTCCTGTGAGGCACTGGAAATGAATTGCTCTCGCTGATTGTCCTCAACAATAGCATTGGCTGCCGGTGTTTGCTGGAAAAGACCCGGGATGTCGTAATCGGGAAAGCAGAGACCAGTGAGCAGGATGATGACGACTTGCTGCACACACGAGGAGGCGGGAGCAATACCGTATGTTTCATATGTGCTTTTCGCTCACCACATTGCTGCTATCCGCTCGGTCTCCACCGGACACAACGAAGACGTCCATGAAGGTGCCTTCGGCGGTCGGCAGTCGGACAAAGTTCTCAAAGGCTTCATCATCACCATCCAGAGGCTCAGTGCTATTGCCTGCCAGCTGCCTGTCGACATAAACAACAGCCACGAATCCATTTGTGATATCGAGCTCATTGATCAAACGCACCCATCGACTGTGACGAGAATCCATGCTGAAGGGCCTTCAATGCTATTCGTCGCGATAAGGACTTCAGGGAAGCCGCTGTTTCTCGCAAAGACCTGTGCGAAAAGAAAAGGACACAAATTGACGAAACGCTGAACAAAATCAGTATCCCTACAATTCAGCGCACGCTACCAAATCGACTGCGACAAATTGGCTTTTGCCGCTTCTGACAATGTTGTTTTTCTCGGTGAAGAGAAGGATGGGGCATGTAAAAATACTGGTACAAATGTTGTTGGACCTGCTTGTAATGGACCTGCATGTAAAACGAAGCACAAGAGCTTGAAACAATTTACTTACCTTCCTGCTCTCCCTTTGTGTGAACGTGAGTTCCGGCCGATGGACTCTACACATCGACACGGAAGAAAATGCGTGCATGTCGGCAGCGCTTTCTCTCCCTGCTTGCAGGTCTGGCTACTCATTGCCTTCTCTCTCAAGCTTCTGCTCATTGCTCACTTCTCTTTGTCGCGCCTGTTCCCGCACCGGGCTTGTTCCTGAGGCCTCTCGACTCTTCGCTTCATATCCATGGCTTGTCTCTTTTTTCGCTTCAAACTCATCGCCCTCCCCAATAAAAAACTCTCTCTCTCTCTCTCTCTCTCTCTCCATCTCTGCATCTCCCGTAATCATCCACCAAAAGCTCCGTGAGGTTCCCGAACTCATACTCATATTCACTTCGCGGCTCTTCATAGTCATCATCATTCCGATCGTCAGTGCCTCCAAGCAGTGTGATATCGATGCCCGTAGCATTGGGATCTGCACACATCAGAGACATGGATAGAAAGCACAATCCACATAAGACAGAGCATGCTAACTTGTAACAGCGATGTTGAACGGAATGTGACACTCGAAGTCGTACCAAATGATGAGCACACGCTAGACAAGACACAGCAAAGGGCAGACAGACAGTTAGGCGAATTAATATGTTGCCAGTGCTACTGACCACGTCATTCTCCACAAAGGCCAAACGCTCTCCGCCGAATGGATAGAGAATGACGTCCAGGACATCTGCTCGTCCGCCACTGATTCTAATATCCGTTGAAATAAAAGCTGCATCTTCGAAAACGGTATCGGACGGTCGGTCTTGTGTATAGGCCTTTGAGCCACCAATGTACTCCCTAAGAATGCAATGCATATACGATCGCCCAGCAATGCAATGCAATGCAATGCAATGCAAGTGCATGTACCTGGGAGAAATGAAATTCCCGAATAAATCTCTCGTCTCCTCGCCCTCAGCGAAAATGGACATATCCGCATCGCCAGAGACGGAACTGGCTGCAATGACAACGTATGAATAGTTGAAGCTCCTAGGACTCACCTGAATGAATAGAAAGCCAAAATGTGTTGAGCCGGGATTGTCTGAGCCTCACCATACCATATCAACTGCTAAGCGCTTGAAGCGCTGGGGCGTACCAGGAAACTCCGCGAAATCGCCAACGAGAAACTCAGTGTTGTTTGTTGGATCGAAGGGGTTGATTTGGGTGACGGGACAGCCATAGACGCCGCGAGGACGACCTGCAAGCGACGAAAACAGAGGAAGGGTTTGCATGGGCATGCAGGACGTCAGCTGTGGCCTGCCTGTCTACTCAGTTAGTCTCCTCACCTTCCAGCTGCTCTCTCGCGGCCAATGCATTGGCAGACGGAGCGGCCTGGACGCACATAGACATGCGAGACACGACAAGAGACATGACATTTGTCAATCTACGCGTCCATGTGTGAGTTGCCCCTTTGTTGCTGCTCGCTGCTCCCACTGATTTGCTCGCTGTATGTTTCAGTCACCTGTCCATTCTCGATGTTCTGTTTGGCAGCGTCTGTCTCTTGCAGCTTGAGTGCGTCCAGCCCATCGTCAGCCGACGCCTCGTCATCCTTCTTGCCCTCGCGAGACCAATCGAGCAGCCCGTTGCTAAGTGTGTCACGTCTTGTAGAGTTCGAGACTGTATACAGCTCGTCGCACAATCTCCTCCAGCTTCTTTCATAATACATTTGCACTTGCTGAGAGGATCCAGTGATATTTTGTGGAAGATTCCTTGTCCCTTCGTCTTATACCAACCACATTCGCATAAGGTGGGTCACGAGGTCCTGAATCCTCGCTGAATGGCACGACTATGAAAACATCCAGAAAGTCGCCTTCAGCGACTGAAAGACAGCCCTCAAACCGCCTTGGCTGAGGCAGCACTTCAATTGTAGCCACAACTTCACTGAACACACAAATGGACCTGGGTTGGCTTCCCTTCCCTTCTCTTTCATTCACCTCACCCATCAATAGTGGCAATGATGTGTGCTGAAGTGCCTTCGATGGTGCTTGCAACGATACGGATAGCCTCAAATTCAGCGTTCCTTGCAAAGACCTGAAAGCAAGCCATTCACACACAGGCAGACATGCAGATCAATCGCAGGAGGTCTCGTGTTATCACCAAGTCGACAGCGACAAAGTGATTCTTCCCGCATCTAATCCACTTGGACGCAGGCGAAAACGGGAGAATCTCCAGAATCAGTCCCTCGAAAGTACTGTAGAAAAAGGGGGCCCTGTAGCGGATAGTATCGAAGTCATACGCTACAAATCGATAAACACACACACACAAGGAAAGAGCGGGAGACATCGTTGTTGCACGACAGCTGCTAAGTATCATACGCACTCCCGACCTTCCTGCTCTCCATCCGCATAGACGTAGGGCTTGCCCTGTGCACAGAGACAGAAAGACACGTCTGAATGTCTGCTGCCTGTCTGCAATTGCTCACTCATCTCCCTCTGCCGCACCTGGTCGACCTCTGCGATGCTCCTTATCGTCTCCTGGCTTCTCTCACTGCGCGTCTCAAAGCGGTCATCATCATCATCATCATCATCCCCTGCTCGTCGCCTATCGGGTTCCTCATAGTCGTCATCGTCATCGTCACCATCATTGGGCAACGTCACATCAAGACCAGACGGCCCTGAAAAACAAGAAAGACTATACTCATTCATGCGGTAGCTTCCTATAGGTGTCACATTCACCCGTGACATTAAAGTAATTGTCACAGTCATAGTCGTAGAAGACAAGCAAGACACGCTGCACACAAAAAATGAGTGCATGTGCGACAGATGAAGCTGTGGAAGCTGTTGTACCACATTGGTGGGCTCATTCACTTCCTCCTTGGTGAACAGCAAAATCTGGATTACATCGCCTTCGTCTGTTGGGAAGAAGATGCTATCCTCATATTCATCAGCGGAAGGGTCTTCGTAATTGTCAGCCGGACGGTTCTCAGAAAGAGCGTAATAAAGGCTGGAAGACGCAGACATCTTCACTTCATGTCCAATGACACGTGCACTCCATATCTAATCAATTGTACCCGTCAACAAGGCCATCCCTGTAGTCCTGACTGAATGCCTCCCCGCGCATATCAGCGTCGCCAGAGACGGAGCTAATCGCAACAACAACGAATGGATATCCCGCCGCTCTCGGCAGATCCTGCATACACGGACACACCAACAAAAGAAGGAGTGTCATTGGCTAAGGCACAATCTAATCTTGTCTCTTCGAACCAGGTCAAAAATCTGCTTCGTCTCGCCGGGCTGAATGGTGAATGCTGTATTCCCCGTCGGGTCGCACGGGAAAATGTGGCTCACCTAAGGCATGTAAAGAACCGTTACATTGCTGTTCGCTTTGATGATGCATTCTGCTGCTCAGACCGGACAGCGGCCGTAGACACCACGAGGCGCAATAACAGCTGCATCACGAGAACACATTACCAGCATTACCTTTTTGTCGGCCGTCTGTCCACTCACCGTCGTCCTGCTGCTCTCCTTTTGCTGCGGGGGCGACGGTTTCCTCACCCTGATAACACACACATTCATGTACACCGTGCATCGATAGGCATGCTTTGGCTATCGTTCTGATGCATTCACTCACTTGTTTTCTCCACATTTTCTGTTTGATGGTGTCGGTCACAGACAGCTCGAACGCCTCGAGACCCAGATCAGCCAACAGATCGTCGCTCTCCTCGCCCGCGCGGAACAAATCGAGCAATTCATCAACGCTTATTGGATCGGCATCGCCGTCCCTTGAAGATTCAGCCGAGATGGACTCTATCTCGCGAACGTTGATCCCAGGGATGAGGTACACATCGAAGTCCACAGCGCACAAGCCAGTAAGATAGTAAATCACCACTCCCTTCAGGCCGAGCAGAATGAGAATGCCAGTCGTCTGGGTCGTACTGGGTCGCTGACATTTGTTACCGTGTTTGACGGCAGGTCTCCTTTCGGCTCGATGAAGACGTCCAGATACTCGCCTTTGTCCGTGGGCACCAGAACAAATTCCTCTGCACAAATGCACTCATCTGAACAAACTCCTCGGCACCTTGGAAGATAGGGGCTGCCGTCCTGCGTGGCATTTGTGCGGTCAAAAGGCTCCCTGCAATGATACATGGTCAGAAGAAGAGCGCGTCATTACTTGCCATTTGCTGTGTCGCTCACTCGTCAATTTCGATGACAATATCGGCGAGGCCCTCTTGACTGTTCGCTGCCACGAGAATCCGATTGAATCCAGCATTCCTCGCAAACACCTGCATGAAAGTCACATCAAAAAGCTACCGACTGCCCATAGACTGCGCATCGTACCAAGTCCACGCGAATGAACTGGTTCGTGCCAGCTTCGATGATGTTGGTCACGTTCTCATCATCCGTGAGGAACGGATCGCGCCTGGGGGTCCCATCCGCGTAGTATCGCCGCGGCCGTCCGGCGCTGATGAACGGGAAGTACGGACAAACAGAGAAAGGCAGCTGCTCCGTGGCAAAGGCTGCGGCAAGAAAGGAGAGGTCAACTGCTGACAGCTGAATCAGCGTGCTTGCGTATCTTGGCTGAGTGAAGCCCACGTACGTTCCTCATGAGGTCCGTGTCGCCCCGATCGGCCGTCTGCCTGCGAATCAGAAAGAAGCATTTGTGCTGCCGTTGCAACTTCCATGGAATTCAGTGGACTGTCATCTCACCATCCTGCCCTGCGCCTCATTTGCCCTGTACATGTCGTTTCCCCCGCCATCATCTCCCCTGGGCTCAGGCACCTTCCGTGACAGAAGGCCTTTCTCCGCATCAAGAGGGCTGCGGTGAGTGACTGCAGCTTCACAGACGACATGTAGGCTGCAAATGGACAGCCCAAACACAGAGAGACGCCACATCGATTCCATGACCGTTGCTGGCCGTTTCCACGGTGTACAGCCTGAAGGGTCATGAAGGCCCTTGTTGTACTGTTTGCCCAGCTTTCTGGCGCTCTACTCGGCAGAGCCCAGGAACCCAGCAGCGGATGGGAGGGCGACGGGACCCAACGAGGTGTGCTGAGGCTCCGGCGGGAGCTGTGCGACTGCGACAACATCACTCTGCGCAGCTCGGGGCCCCTCGCCAGGTCATCGTCTGCCGTCCGGGCGGTGCTCTCCAGCCCCGTGTGCTCTGTCGATGGCCACACCTTCGCGAGCCTCTGTCTGGCGCTGTGCCAGGGAGCTGATGTGGATGAAGCTGACGTCACGGGGGAGGGATGCACACAGGGCATCACGGCCATCAGGTGAGCAGACGCAATGGGCGTGCCTCACTGTGTCATTGCCACGTGTGGTGTGTTGCAGGCGTCTGACGCTCCCTCCAGACGGCCGGCTGCCGGCCGTCCTCAGCCGCAAAGGGTCCAACATGGCCTATCTCGGCAGAATCGACCGGACGACAGCACCACCAACACAACACTCAGCAGCGGTCTTTGACAAGCGTAGAGCTGCTCGGTCAGCGGGTGGATCATATCTCATACGAGGCCAAGGCGACGTCTATATGCTCGATGACCGCACGGCACCGCAGGGCGCGATGGCATGCCGGTCGACGTCAGCTGATGGTGGCGTGTGTTTCAGTGCTGCCGATCCTCAACACGTGACGGGGACATTCACGACCTGCCAAGACAGCGCCGCTCAGAATCTGAGCGCAGACAGGCTGAGACACACATTGCCTGTCTGTCTGTCTGTCTGTTCGGCTGTACCATCAGCATCAGCGACAGCATTGGTCGCGGCGCCCGCACCGTCTGCAACGCCTCTCAAGAGGTAAGTCAGAGAGAGGGTGGGATGGCATGGATGGATGCAGGGGAGGGTGGGGGTGAATCTGTTTGTTTGGTGTGTGCCCGTGCAGCTCCAGCCACCGGCCCGAGCCGACGTATCTGCCTCACAAACGCACAGCACGCACCCCATCACAGGCTTGCGTGTTTGGACGTCAGATGTCCGACACAGCTTCGACGGGGACGGACGGATGCGCTGCCAGCTACTACACGATTCGGATGCCCAAGGGCGATGAGGTGATGCCGGGCACCCCCGACACACACCTGACGACAAATGGTACGCACATGCATGAGAGACTCATGAGAGCAGGAGGGAAAGACAAAGGCCAGCATGAGTCTCTGTGTGTGTGCGTGTGCGTGTGTGTGTGTGTGTGTGTGCGTGACAGGATCAAGCGCAGGCCTGAGTTCGTGCGGCTGACTGGGAAGCACCCCTTCAATTGCGAGCCGCCTCTGGACCTGCTGAGTGCGATTGCCAACATCCTGCACCAGCAGACGCACGACATCAGCAAGCCCCTGAAGCTCTCGGGCTACGCCTACTCGGGCGGCGGGCACCGCGTCATCAGACCTGAGGTGCCATCGATGGCGGCAAGACGTAGCAAGTCGCCACCATCACCTGCCAACCTGAGACAGGTACGATGCATGGCACTGACAGCCCCTCTTGTGGTGGGTGGAGGCAGTGTGTGTATCGTTTTCCTGTCTCCGTGTGTGTAGGGTATGGCCGCGCCTACGAGTGGACCCTGTGGGAGACGGAGGTGCTGCTGACGCCATCAACGGACCAGATCTGCTTCAGAGCGTGGGTAAGCGACGTGCCGACCCACACGCATCCACACACAATCCAAAGACAGGGTCGGCACACGCATCCACACACAATCCAAAGACAGATGGCATGCTCCTCGGCTGCCTATCTTCGGGTAAATGGGTGCAGGATGACGCGATGCACAGCATGCCCATGGTCCCCACATGGAGCATTATGGGCATGCTCAACAACACCTGATACCGAATCCAGGTCACCACAGTATCCGCCGACACCGTCGATCTGGGCCTCCCTCACTGGGCTGCCAAGGACACGCCCAACCATCCCCTCACCGTCATCAACAAGCCCAGTGGAGAGGAGCCGGCACACGCATCCACGGCCACAGCACCACCAGTGGCCGCACCAGTGGCCACTGAGAGGGGTGGGGCGCTGATCGGTGGCCTGGCAGTCGTCTGCACCCTGGCCGTCGGGATTTTGGTGGGGTTTGCATTCACACAGAGAAAGACAGTCTGACTTGGGGAGGGGGAGGGGAACGGGGAGGGGTGGTGGGGAGCTGTGCATGCGATGCGGTGCTGTGTTGTCTGAGAGAGGTGCATGAGCCATATACAGATAGAATGAAGACGCTGCGGTATGTCAGCGGGCGGTGTCGGTGCTGGGTGTGTGTTCTCTGCTTTCTGGACTGGGGTCAAGAGGGGACGAGCGGTCTGGGTCCCTCCTTCCCTTGATGTTGATGCTTCGGATGGTGTGTCATTGGTGTATGTTTCTCAGCAGTTGTGGAGGTGTTGTGAGCTGTGTGTGGCGTGCTGTGTGCACAGCTGGCGGGCGGACGGGCGGGGGCAGTGGGAGGGGGGCACGGCAAATTGTGACATGGTGTAGGTGTGTGGTGACGCCAAGCATACGTACGCTGGGCGTCCTGCTTGTTGGTGCGCAAAAACCGTTGTGGCGCTGTATGTGTTCACGTGAGAGAGCTTACGTGTGTGTGTGTGTGCATGTGTGTGTGCGGGAGCTGCAACAAACATGCCCTGCTCTCGTATTCGTGTTGGTGTTGGTGTGCGACAGGGTGGGTGTGGGTGGCTACATATGTGGTAAGAGTCTGCATATGTGGGTGCTGGGTTCACTGCATGGCATTCATCAGTCTCGAGACTTTCTTGTCATGAATGCGTGTGTGCAGCCAGGACATATGCATGTTTATGGAGAGGGGGACACCATTGGGGACCGCTGCCTGCGGCAGTTTTTCTCGCTGAGATTTTGAGAACTTGTTACAATCAATACGGACCGATTAATATTGGTGGTTGTTCAGTGGCTGAGCGTGGTCAAGCATGACAGACGTGTACACGTGCACGCACATAGACACGACGATCAGTCAGCACGGCGACACAGTCACCCAACACATATCCATCGATCACTAGCAGATCAGCGAGACACAGCAGCAGCGAGCGATCGTGTCGACACATGATGGATGGCCATGGCTCATCATCTCTGGCCCTCGAGGACTGTTGTGCGTCGTCGAGCGGCTTCATCCCTCTCTGGTGTGACATCTGCATTCACAACAAACAATACGTCACTCGAGCAAGGTTCCTCTGGTGCATTCGGGCGGGGTCACTCTATCTTGCCCGAGACACATACATGTGTGATCTGTCTGTTGCAGGTCCTGTTCGTGCTGCATGTGTGAGTCATGCTACAGCCAGTGCACAGCGGCCGCCAGCAATGACACACAAACGTGCACCAAATGCGGTCGGTGGACACACAGACAGACGGACACACAGCAATGTCACCCTTGCCATGTCTCTCTGTCTCTCTGTGTATGTGTCACAACGGGTGCACGTCAGAGTGTGCGTGCGCGTGACAACCAGTCGAATGCAACCCCCGTCTTGTCGTCCCCTCATCGATGTGTGCTGTCCCTTGATTGTATGTGTGTCAGCAAGTGGCGATTACGGTGTTGAAGTCGCACGACTTGTGACTGGCAGCACCTCCATCGGAGTGTGTGACCAGTCACATGAGCTTGACCCCCACAAGCACGTCCGGCTGGCGGCAGTCAAGGCACTCACTACCACATGCATGCTCCTCTCGCGAGAGGTGAGAGGGACACCAAACAGAGAGGGGACACACTAGCAAATGGGCCTTCATCTGTCGCTCTCTGTCTCTCAGGGGTGTTTGACGGCCCGTGCTGCTGCTGTGTTGCAAGTGATCATCTCTCGTCTGCATGATAAGGACTCCGCTGTGCGCAAGGAAGCGGCCAAGCTACTCACACTCGAGCTCACCTCCACCAAAGCCATGTGTGTGTGACAGGCCAGGCCACACACAAGCATCCCTTGGTTCATGCCTCTTCATCTGTGCAGGGGTGATATGTTGAACAGGAACCAGGCCGTGGCCCGCGAGTATGCCCACGCGTTGATAATGATTGACTCTGACCCACTCCCGCCATCCGCAAGGCGGTACGCACCGCTCAACGAAAGACAGGGCCTCAACGGACACTCTCTGTCTGTGTGCTTTCTCTCGTGCAGCGTGACGAGCTGGTGGTGTTATCTGCTCGGCGGTGAAGTGCTCCAGCGAGCCGAGAGCGAAGGGGGAACCTCCCTCTCCTCCCCTCCTGCTGTCGCTGGTGGTGTCGGTCCAGTCGGTGGCTTGTTGTGTGAGAGTGTGAACGGGAATAAGTGAGGCCCGGGGGACGGGTCGGTGAAGGGCGACAGACTGAGTGAGGTGTTGGAGGTGCGCCGCCGCATATGCAGCAGCTCGGCCGAGTGCCGCCTGATGTGTTGAGGACAGTGAGCCGTCCACTGTTTGGCGGCTATGATGAGGGACATGGGGGGCGGGCAGGCGACAACACTGAGGGGGAAACGAGATGGATGGGGACGGTGCGTGAATCGTGCACGATTTGTGGATGACTTGGATGGCTTCATTGATCGCATGAACTTAGTTCAACACGCAGTATGTCACAAGTGTGTCTCACATCTCACAGCAGGCAAAGACCTGTGTCTCCAAATCCAGAGATCACAAAATTACACACACAGACAGACACACCGACTTGCACTACACGGAGTCAGTCTGTCTGGTCGTCGAACAGGTACTCAAACTCTCCGAAATCGAACTCGTAATCCGCACTTCGCAAGGGAATGCCTGTGGAGGGCTCGCCGGATCCTGGCGGTGGTAGTCTTGTCGGGTAGGAAAAATAAAGAATCCCTCCAGAAGGGCCTGCAAAAGAGAAGACGCGCATGCGACACATAAGGGGAGCAGCTGATTGGGATGGTGCGTACGTGGGTTGAATCCTGGTGTGGAGGTGATGTTGAACGGCAGGTGACACTCATAGTCGTAAAAGATAATCAAGACACGCTGCACAACAGCAACGGCAAATGAACGCGCGCAAGGAGAATGAACGTTGTGCCTCTCCTACCACGTTGGCAGTAGTTGGCCTGAGATTGTAAAACGCTGCGTCTCTGAAAGCCTCAAAGCATATCCTTAGAGTCTGGTCGACGTCCTCATCGTTGATATTAACATTGAATAGAGGACTCTCGAGAACCGCATCTTCGTAGAAGTCGTCGTCTGGCGGGTCTTCTGTGTATGCCTTCGAGGCAGCACGATCGGCAACAATGTCAGCATCGCCAGAACGAGAGCTGGTTGCAACAACAATTGCAGGATAACCAAGATTGAAAGCCAAGTCCTGCACTCACATGAGAAGAAAACAAATACACGGCAGGCGATTCTTCCAGTCAATCCGCATGTCCGTACTTGATCGAAACTTATGCAGTTCCTTGCGTCAATCTGCGTGATGAATTCGGTATTGTTTGTTGGATCGAATGCATTGATTTGGGTGACGGGGCAGCCATACACTCCGCGAGGAGGGGCTGCAGCCAATGTACACAGGACCAGGGTTCACACGCTTCAGTCACGGGGTGCCTACTGTTTTGTTTCCTCACCTTCAGACTGCTCACGTGACGCCGATGGCTTGGTAAGTGGGATGGTCTGCGTACACATAGACGTAGAGGACACGACGCATTCGTTCAGCGTCCATTACTTACCTGTCTCTTCTCGATGGTCTCTTTGACGGAGTCTTTCTCTTGCACCTCGGACGTGTTCAACGTCATATCTGCCGATGCCTTCTCACCCTTCTTGACCTCGTGGGACCAATCGATCGGCCCATCGATGGACGTAGCGGCATTAACGACATCGTCTTGTGAGGTATTAAACATGGATGTCTCTCGCTGATTTTCCTCAACAATGGCATTGGCTATCGGTATTTGCTGGAAGAGTCCCGGGATATCGATTGAGGGGAAGCAGACACCATTAACCAGGAGGATGGTAAGCTGCTGCACACACGAGGTAGCGGAAGCAATGCCCATACGTTCACTATACGCTTGACCCAACGATTAGCTAGTCATTCACTCACCACATTGCTGCTATCCGCTCGGTCTCCACCGGACACAACGAAGACGTCCATGAAGGTGCCTTCGGCGGTCGGCAATCGGACAAAGTTCTCAAAGGCTTCCACATCACCGTCTTGAGGCTCAGTGCTATTGCCTGCCAGCTGCCTGTCAACGTAAAGACAGCTCACGACTTGATTATTCTATCGAGCTCATTCATCAAGCATACCCATCGACTGTGACGAGAATCCATGCTGCGGGGCCCTCAATGCTATTCGTGGCGATAAGGACTTCAGGAAAACCACTGTTTCTCACAAAGACCTGTGCGAAAGAAAGGAATGAGTACGACCAGCAACATTTTTTATTCCTGCAATGCACCCTACCAAATCGACCGTGACAATTTGGCTTTTTCCGCTCCTGACAATGTTGTTCTCTTTGGTAAGTAAAAGGATGGGGCATGCAGGGAAAAATACTGTTGGACCTGCACGAGTAGAAGGAAGGGAAAGTGAACGGACCTAGGAACACTCTCCGTTCACTGGGGATAGAAAGTGGGGGATAGAAGCTTTTTGACCTTCCTGCTCTCCCTTTGTGTGGACGTGAGTTCCGTCCGATGAATTCTATTCATCGACACACAATCGATATCCATAGATTCTCACTAGCCAGTGATCCCTCTCTTAAACTTCACTCACGCGCTCATTGCTGACTTCTCTCTCTCGTACCTGTTTCGGCAGCGGGTTTTTCTCCACGACCTCTCGACCGTTATCATTGGCTCCCTGTCCTTTCTGTTTTTTCATCTCAGAGCCATCGCCCTCCTCAATTAGCCGGCCAAAAGGATCCAGTTCCGGGAAGAGATCAGTGAGGTTTCCGAAGTCGTACTCATACTCAGTGCGCGGCTCTTCGTACTCCCCGTCATTCTTCGAATCGTCAATGCCCCCAAGCAGTGTGACGTCGATGCCCGTAGCATTGGGGTCTGTACACGTCAAGCACATGGATCGAAAACACAATCCACAGGAGACACAGCTTACTTACTTGTCACGGCGATCTTGAACGGAATGCGACACTCAAAGTCGTACCAAATTATGAGTACACGCTAGACAAGACACAACAAAGGGCAGACAGACAGTGGGTACCTCTCGAATGGTTTCGTCAGCGGTGCTGACCACGTCGGCATTCGTCGTCGCTAGCGTGTTGTCAAGGCCAAAAAGTTCTCCACCGAATGGATACAGAATGACGTCCAAGGCAAGACCTTGTCCGCCACTGATTGTTATGTCTGTTGGGATGAATACCGAGTCCTCGAAAAAGTCACCGGACGGTCGGTCTTCTGTATATGTCTTTGAGCCACCAATGTACTCCCTAAAGAGGCAAAACACATCAATATACGCACCCATCGATATCCTTCCCACCTAATTGGTACGGTACGATCCTCGTATTTGTCTTTCCTCCTGCCTTCCAAATACACGGACATATCCGCATCGCCAGAGACGGAACTGGTTGCGATGATGATGTATGGATAGTTGAAGCGTCGGGGGCCCGCCTAGAGGCACAAAGAACGCCTATTATGGATGGTTCTCTAGATGTGTCTGTACCAAATCAACTACTAAACGCTTGAAGCGCTCTTCAGGAGTAAAGGAGTCATAGGGATCGAAGAAAAGACGCGTGCCAACGAGGAACTCTGTATTGTTTGTTGGGTCGAATGGGTTGATTTGGGTCACAGGACAGCCATACACGCCGCGAGGAGGACCTGCAATCGACGCAAAGATAGGGAGGGCTTGCATGGGCATGCAGGACGTCGACTGTGGCCTGCCTGTCCTCCCATTTGTCTCCCTCACCTTCCAGCTGCTCGCGTGCGGCCGATGCATTGGTAGATGGAATGGCCTGTATACGCATAGACATTATTACTTATGTGCCCTCGCTTTATTACTGCTTGCCCTCCCTCGATCACTGATGCCATCCCTTTTTCCTTTTACCTGTCTACCCTCGATGTCCTGTTTGGCGGGGTCCGTCTCCTGCAGCTCGAGCGCGTCCAGATCAACATCAGCCGACGCCTTGTCGCCCTTCTTGGTCTCGCGAGACCAATCGATCAGCCCATCGGCAAATGTGCCACGTCGTGAAAAGTTCGACACACTCAGCGGCCCGTCGCAGAAAATAGAAGGGTCTACATCCGACTGGTACTTCATAAGCAATTGCTGCAAAGAATAATATGGGCATCCTTTCTGTAGCGTGCTTTTGTTTCCTACGAACCACATTCGCATCCGATGGGAATCCACCGGGATAATACGGTATATACCCGTATTTATACGTGTCGCGTGAATAGACATATGGGTTGTCCACAAACGGCACGACGATGAAAATATCCAAAAAGGTGCCTTCAGCGGTCGCCACTTGTACGCAGCTCTCGAAGACATTATCATAACCGTCCTGAGGGAATTGGCTTGTACCTACAACTTCACTAAATACACACGAATATAGCAGCTTGGCTGGCTTTTCTTGAAATCAATTCACCTCACCCATCAACAGTGGCAATCATAGATACTGAAGCGCCTTTGATGCTGTCCGTTAAGATAATGATCGTCTCAAACTCAGCATTCCTCGCGAAGACCTGAAAACACAGAAGACATGCAGATCGATTGGACGAAACAAAGGTCCCCTTTCGTCACCAAATCGACAGCTACAAAGTGATTGCTCCCTCCTCGAATCCAGTTGGATGCAGGCGAATACGGGAGAATCCCCAGAATCAGTCCGTCTGGAAAATAATCCAGATCCCCAGGAAGAGAATCAAGCTCGTACGCTACACACGCACACACGCGCGCACGCACAAGGGAGAGCGAGAAAGGAACCTTTCGCGTGCCACGCCCATGAGCATTATCGTGTACTACTCTGTCTCTGATCTTCCTGGTCTTCCTTCGAGTGGACGTGGGCTTCGCTCTGTGCACAGACAGATAAAAGACACGCGTGAGCGTATGCTGTCTCCCTCGCTTGCTTACTCCCTGACCTCCCTCTGTCGCACCTGAGCGGGCTGTGAGCTGCTCCTCGCCGCGTCCGCATTTTTCTCACTGGTCGTCTTGAAGCTCCCGAAATCATCATCGTCATCGTCGTCGCGATCCCTCCGTGGTCGATCGGGCTCCTCAAAATCGTCATCGTCTGTCTTCAATCCCCCTCCGATCGTTACATCAAGACCAGACGGCCCTGACAGACATACAAAGATACTCGCTCATGCAATAGCTTCATATACCTACTCACCGCCAGTTATATTGAAGAAGGGAAAGAAGCAGTCATAGTCCACAAATACAAGCAAGACACGCTGAACAAAAAGTGGGGGCACGGGTGGGAAATGAGGCTATAAGATTGTTGATTTCGTACCACATTGGCAGTCTCATTCACTCCCTCCTTGGTGAACAGAAAAATCCCGAGTTCGTCTCCTTCCTGTGTAGGAAAAAAGATGCTATCTTCATAGTTATCAGCGGGAGGGTTGGCGGTAGGGTTGTCAGAGAAAGCGGAATAAACGCTGCAAGCACAATCAACAATGCATGTCTGTCAGCCCCTCTATCACCCCCTCTATCCCTACAATGTGCACTATCGTACGTGTCATTTAAATAGGGAAAAATGAATGATGTCGCAAACATGTCAGCGTCGCCAGAGATGGAGCTTGCCGCAACGCCCACGAATGGATATCCCGCCAGTCTCGGCAGATCCTGCATAGACGAACACACCAACAAAGGCAAGGTGTCTCATTAGCCGAGGTACAATCTTTGTGTTGTCCCTTCGCACCAGGTCAACAAAAATCCGCTTCTCCTCGCCAGGCTGGATTGTGAATGCTGTGTTCCCCGTCGGATCGAACGGGAAAATGTGGCTCACTGGGCAGCCGTAGACACCACGAAGGGCATCAATCGCTGCATTCAGGAAAACACACCATTAGCATGTGCCCATTTTCAATGTGTGTGTCTGCTCACCGTCTTGCTGCTCCTCTTTTGCTGCGGGGCTGACGGTTGCCTCACCCTGACGACACACACATTCACACACACCTTGTGTGAATAGGTAGGCTTTGGCGGTCATTCTGGTGCCTTCACGTACCTGTTTTCTCCACATTTTCTGTTTAATGGTGTCGGTCACAGACAGCTCAAACGCCTCCAGACCCAGGTCAGCCAGAAAATCGTCAGTCTCCTCACCGGCGCGGAACAGATCGAGCAGCTCATCAACGCTCATAGCATCGACATCAGTGTCAGAGAGCGGCTCTTTCTCGGGAATGTTGAACCCAGGGATGAGGTACGGATCGTTGGGTACAGCGCACAAACCAGTAACATGGTAAATCACCACTCCCTGCAGCCCACGAGAAGGTCAGTCGTTTGAGTCGCTGACATTCGTTACCGTGTTTGACGGCATGTCTCCCTTTGGCTCGATGAAGATGTCCAGATACCTGCCTTTGTCTGTGGGCACCACTATGACAGCCTCTGTAGTGGAGTCTGAATCGTCCTGGGCGACATTTGTGCGATCAAATGGCTCCCTGGATTGATAGATGACCAGGAGACAAGACTATTGTTGCTTGATGTATGCTTTGTCGCTCACTCGTCGATTTCGATGATGATATCGGCCAGGCCCTCCCGACTGTTCGCCGCCACCATAATCTGATTGAACCCAGCATTTCTCGCAAACACCTGCATGGATGGCACAGGTCATGAAAGAAGCAGATAGTCACTGCAAGTCGACTGCGAATCGTACCAGGTCAACGGCAATGAACTGGTTCGTGCCCGCTTCGATGGTGTTGGTCACGTTGTCAGACCTGAACGGCAAGCCTTGGGCGGTGATGTACGGGAAGAAAGGGCAAAAAAACAAAGGCAGCTGCTCCGTGGCAAAGGCTGTAAGGAAGAGAAGATGTCAAAGAGCCGATGATGCAACTCTCAAGCGCACGTACGTTCCTCAGCAGCTCTGTGACGGTCATATTGCCCCGATCGGCCATTGCCCTGAAAACCCGAAAAAAGCATTCTATTGACATTCAGTGAACAGTTTCCATCTCACCGTCTTGCCGTGCGCCTCATCCTTGTCCTGCCCCCCGCCATCATCGCCCGGGGGCTCAGGCACTTTCCGTGACAGAAGGCCGCTCTCCACATCACGAGGGCTCCGGCGAGCGTCTGCAGCTACACAGATGACATGTAGGCTGCTAATGGACAGCCCAAACACATAGAGACGCCACATCGACTTCATGACCGTTGCTGGCCGTTTCCACACTGTACAGCCTGACAGGTCAGCTGGATGAAGGCCCTTGTTGTACTGTTTGCCACACTTTCTGGCGCTCTGCTCGGCAGAGCCCGACCAGCCAGCAGCGGATGGGAGGGCGACGGGACGCGGCGAGGTGTGCTGAGGCTCCGGCAGGAGGTGTGCAACTGCGACAATATCACTCTGCGCAGCTCGGAGCCCCTCGCCAGGTCATCGTCTGCTGTGCGGGCGGTGCTCTCCAGCCCCGTGTGCTCTGTCGACGGCCACACCTTCGCGAGCCTCTGTCTGGCGCTGTGCCAGGGAGCTGATGTGGATGAAGCTGACGTCACGGGGGAGGGATGCACTCACGGCATCACGGCCATCAGGTGAGCAGACTCAATAGGCGTGCCTCACTGTGTCATCGCCACGTGTGGTGTGTTGCAGGCGTCTGACGCCCCCTCCAGACGGCCGGCTGCCGGCCGTCCTCAGCCGCAAAGGGTCCAACATGGCCTATCTCGGCAGAATCGACCGGACGACAGCACCACCAACACAACACTCAGCAGCGGTCTTTGACAAGCGTAGAGCTGCTCGGCCAGCGGGTGGATCATATCTCATACGAGGCCAAAGCGACGTCTACCTGCTCGATGACCGCACGGCGCCACTTGAGGGTGCGATGGCATGCCGATCGACGTCAGCTGATGGTGACGAGTGTGCCAATGCTAACGATCCTCAACACGTGACGGGGACATTCGCGAGACGCCAGAACAACACCTCTCAACAGGAGCAGGCGTGTCCGGAGACATCAAGCCGCCGAGACGATGATGAAGCGGCCCTCCCAGAGCACTGCTTCGACCCCGACGACCGAGAGAGAGTGGACTCCACACAAATGCCCTGGAAGGCAGTCGGCCTGCTGCGGCTTCCCAAATTGGACCAGGGCGAAGTGGTCAACTGCACCGGCAACATCGTGTTCGGCACTTACGTGCTGACTAATGCCCACTGCCTGATAGACAAACAAGGTAAGCGAAGGCATGTTTTACACGACCGATCTTCACGTTGCATGTGTATGAGTGAGTGCAGACAACTGGATTTTCTCGCCGGGCACTGGCGAGTTTTGCGCCGGCTATGATGCCGAGAAGGTTTTCGACTGCGTGAAGGTCCTGGAAGCCAGCGTCTTCTTGCCGTGGGTGTTTGAGCCGTCTGGCCGTGAGGAAGAAGCCGCCTATGACTTCGCCCTCGTGAAACTGGAGAGGAATTCTGTTGACGGCTTCGATTTCGACATCGGGTCCTTCTGCGACGAGATACGCCCTATCGGCGCGATACAGGGGTTTGAGTTCGCCGGGTGGGCATACAGGCACAGACTTAATGCGGTAGGTGATTGCGTGGGTAACGCGCTGCATGTGTGATGGTGCGTGCAGGTATCCTGAGGACAAGGACACGGAAGAAGTCAGACAAGCAATGTGGAGGGTGCCTCCGGTCAATCAGTTTGAGCCTCCCGAGACCTCAACCATCTTCATTTTCCCTGAATGCGACGAGGTGCGGCGTGGCAACGGCTTCTCACGGCTGTTGCACTATGCAGACATCGGTGAGCAGAAGAGATGGGCACACACTGTCAGCCGTGTCTCATTCTCTCCTTCGTTTCTCCGCATGTGTTGGGCAGATGAAGGCAACTCTGGCAGGTACTACATACAGATGCACGTCATTTGTGGCAGCCGAGACGCGCACTGTCCAACTGTCTGTCTGTCTGTCTGTCTGTATTATCAGTGGCATGTGGCTGGATGCCTCCGCTGATGATGACGAAGGTCGTCGCGTAATTGTGGCCCTGCAGAGCGGCAGAAGCAGGCAGGGGACCAAGGTCAACTTCGCCACAGAGATGACGCCGCGGGCCATTGACGTCATCAAGTACTGGCGAGATGTGATGGACGAGGGGGGGTGATCAAAAACGTCACATGTGATATAATTAATGCGGTCGTTCACTCAATGTGGTGAAGGCGCCAAGTCGCAGCTGCCTCGTACTACTCTCTTGTGGAATGCGATGGAGAAAGTCGACACATTTTGTCGTGCGTGTGTGTCAAGTGTTGATACCGGCACGCACACACGAAAACAGGGACGAATGCGTGAATGGACTTTTTTCCTCTCAATCCACTAGTGAGACATACAGACGCACGAATTCATCTCAGCTCGCTGACAAGCTTTTCTAGCCTCACCCAGAGTGCCTTTAGCGGCAGATCAACATACAGAGTCCGAACCATAGGCCACATAGTACACACAGCACACAATGCTGGCAAGCAGAATCCGAACGACTTGCCGGATGTACACACAGCACAGCATAAAAAGGCGGCTGAGCTGTCAACACAAAGAGCTAGTTGCTCATGTCCCTCACTTGCTGGTGCCGCAAGCACCCCACAGTGTGGTCGTTCACCATACCTACCGCCTGCATGAACGCATACATTATCTTCGGTCCCGCATACTTCATTCCCTTCTTCTTGAGCGCGGCGCTCATCTCCTTGCTGACCGCCGTCTCGCACGGCACCTCCGACAACTTCTTGTAAGCATTCTGGACCGGCTTGTCGCCGACAAAGCTCCACAGGTAGGCCGCCAAGCTCCCATGCTCCTTCTGGATGCTCTGAGCCGCCTTGGCGTTGGCCACAAAGGCATCCAGCTTGGCCCTGCTGCGGATAATGGACGCGTCTTGGAGGGCCGCTTCGATTTCAGCGCCGGACATGGCTGCCACCTTGTCGATGTCGAAGGCGTGAAAGCGGGCGCGGAAGGCATCTCGCTTCTTGAGGACGGTCAGCCAGCTGAGACCAGCCTGGGCCCCTTCCAGGCACACCACTGCATCCATCGGACACAGAGAGAAAGCGCCAGTGCAAGTGACGATAGCACCGACCCGTTGACGTGCATGCCTGTGGCCTACTCTCAAAGAGATGTTGATCGTCCCGCGAGGGCACTCCCCACTCCTCATCGTGATAGGCATTGTACAGAGCATCATTGCCAGTCAGCCAGTCACATCGCCTCCTGCCGTCTTTCGCGCCATCTGCACCAGCTGCTGCCGCCCTGCCTTTCGACGCCTTTGCTGACTTTGCAGGCGGCTCCTCACCAGCAGCAGCGGCTCCTTCGCCCTTGAGGGCGCTCTTGCGCTTGGTTGCCATCGTCCTGCACCGGTGATTGGGCTGGAAGTGACGGAGTGATTGAGATCTTGTCCAAAGGCCCGTGACAAAGCAGATCTGGACCGCGTGTAGCATCGACGTTGTAGCATCCCATTCAATTTGAGCGCGCAGATCTGCGAGCTAAGCCCGCATGGACAGACTGTGTTGGACGAAGCCATGACGCGTGCCAGACGCCGATCTCTGGGCAGGGCTCTCCTTTCTACCTTGCTGCTCCACCTTCTCATCTCTCATTCCATCGGCGCCTCGCTCCCATCTCGGCGGCCGCAGACACTCACCTACGTGCGCGTCAGCCGCTCCCCTCTATATGCGTCGCAGAGGCGGCCACCACCGACTGATGGGATGGCAGATGGGCAAAGGACGGTTCCCGAGGGAGGCAGATCTGGGCTTGTTATGAAGGCGCCTGTGGAGAATAAGGATGTGCTCAGAGAGGGGCTGGCTGTGGGAGGCGGCATTTTAATGGGCATGATGGCTGCAAGTGGACCTGCTGCTGCAGCCGGACTGACACAGGTGCGCATGATTGCATGCAGGCCGCACCGACACATGCGCTGTTCTGTTGGTCCAGATGCCTTTGTCGCAGACCGACCAGTTTCCTCTGGACTTCAGCGAGCCCTTCATCCTCGCGGGCACGACCATCGTCGGCTCGGCACTCATCTTCGCCGCTGCCGTGGCCGTCAGATACGCGCAGATACAGAACGAGCGAGCGACGCTTCAAGAGCAGCAGCAGCAGCAGCAGCAACAGCAGCCCATCAAGGTGGCTGAGGAAACGGCGGCATCCACCACCCCGCCGCCCCCAGCAGCGGGTGGAGCCGAGGTCATTGCACCACCGCCGCAGGAGGCTGCTAATGAGAGCGTCGAGGTGCCCCCTGCACTCATGAAGGCTGCACAACAAGAAGAGTCAGCCCCATGGGTCGAGCCCGAGACCCCCCCTCCCCCGCCCCTGAAAAAGCTCGAGGCCAAGAAAGAGCCGTCTGCGCCAGTCACATCAGCCCCCGAGTCACCCCGTACAGCAGCTCAGACACCACCCACAGCTGTGCAGCCTCCCGAGCCCATTGCTGAGCCACCCGCAGCGCCACCAGCGGGCGCCAAAGTCGCTGTTGCGGGTGAGGGCGCCTATGTGATGGATGCGGATCGCGCCAAGTGGGAGCGTTGGTCGAGGCTGAGCGAGGAGGAGGTGCAGGCGGAGATGGAGAGGGAAATGCAGGAGGAAGAGGAGGCCGAGCAGAGGCGGAGAGAGGACCTCGCCAAAGTGGAGGCACAAGTGGTGAGCGAAACATACACAGACAGTGAGTGGGTGGGCCGGTTGGACGGGGGCATACATTTGTGGCATCTGTTGCTGTCTGTTGTGTGTCGATCAGAAACCTTACAAGATCGACATGATGAACCGGGGCCGGGCAGAGATTCAACAGAGGTCGGACACAGCCACATTCCTACGCACACGCAAGGCAAATGTAACGCTTTCGTATCCCCTTTCTTGGGAGCGATGGCAGAGCACGTGACGAGGTCGTTTCCCATGCCAAGAAGGTCGAGAGCTGAATGGCACAAATGCACCAATCAATCGCTGCTCACGTTTCTTGTTTCCATCGCACTCAGGTGGTCAGGGATCACTTTGACGCCAGGATGGATGAACACTTGAGGCGAAAAGAAGAAGAAGGGCAGGAGGAGGCCCCGCCGCCAGTGCTGGCCTTCATCCCACCTAAGCCGACCTTCTCAAGGATGGACGTGCCAGTCAGCGAAACGGTGAGCCCTCACAACTGGAAAGTGCCCGCCCCCATCCGTCACTCGCGGTATCATTTGCTGCTCGCCTTGCCTTCAGGTGGAGACAGAGGCGAGGAGCAGCTTCCCCCTCGTCCGCACCAAGAGCGAAGAGCCACAAGACACGCAAGAGGCGCACGGTGCCGCTGCTGCCGCACTGGACAGCCACACGACCGACACCACTCTGGCCATCGGCCCCACCCACGTCGACACCCCCCCTCCCCCTGGCCGTGCATTCGCCGAGCCGTCATCCTTCCCCTCGTCTGGTCAGCAGCAGCCCGGCAGCTGGCTGGATCTGCCCGGCCCACCTGACGGCATGAAGGTCATGCGCACCACCGACGCGGGCGATCTGCTGCCGGCCTCTGAGCTGCCCATTCCTGAGGAGATGCAGCAGCGTGGGCAAGGAGAGGGGCAGGGTGAGGCATTCGACGCGAGCAGGATGGAGGTGGAGGTGGTTCCGCGAGATGAGGTGGAGCGGCGTAAGGTGGTCGAGCGGCGGCGGCGCATGGAGTTCGAAAACCCGCCGCCATTTGCCATGGACATGCTGCTGCCGACCCAAGAGACAGAAGTCAGTGAGCCGATCACTGATACACACATCCGCAAATTACCTGCACAAAGGTCGTGTTGTGGTTGGTTGGCTGTCAGGTGAGTGAGGAGGAGCAGCAGCGGCGAGATGCCCTTCAGCAACTGAAGGACTCACTTCACACCACCATAGGCCAGCCAGCAAACAGCGCACAGCCAGAGGGCGGCTCGGCCCACCTGGACCGTGAGGCTCCCACAGTCACACTGCCCCAACAGAAGGAGGCCACGAGGGAGACCGATCGAGGGAGGGCGGCTGACAAGGGGGATGGAGAGGAGGGAGGGGCATCAGCGAGGGGGGTGGGCGGGGAGATCAAGATCGTGGGACCACACAGCTCACTACAAGAGGTACGTCCGTTCAGGCTTCACAATCAATGGATGTGGCAACGCTGGCATGGTCTCTTGTGAATGTCTGTGTCTGTCTGTCTGTCTGTCTGTGTGTGTGTGCATGTGTCTGTTGTGTCCGTCAGGGTTATGTGGGTCGCGTAGCCAAGGAGACGTCAGCCCGGTGGTACTTCGAGACCGGCCAGTTCGTGGCAAAAGACAAGGAGTCAGCACAATGGGAGTGGCAGGCGTGAAGCAGACACCGACACATAGGCAGACAGACAGACAGACATGATTTAGTCCCAGCTGACACACACATGGATAGGACAATGAGCAGAGGGCGGTGCACATATGACGTTCCGTCATCATGATGATGTGTTTTTTGGCGTATGCGTCTCGACGGGTAGAGAGATAGATAGATTGACAATGCGTAGAAGACCACCCATCCATCCCTTTTGCGATGTGCTGGCCGTGTGGCCAGGTGTCCTTTTCTGAGTGACACCACGGCATGCGTTTGCTGGATAGACCGACAGACTCTGCTGGTAAGACGCACCCCCTAGGTCAGGGTTTCAACCCCGCGGGTTTTGGCAAACCCAGCTGTTCCTCCACTCTGCAGAGAACCTCTCTCTCCCCCATAACAATGGAGGCGAGGCGGCGCTTTGCGATGCTGCTGCCTGGGTGGATGGTGCTGCTGTACGCCTCAGTAGCGAATGCAGACTCACTGGCGCTGCAGGTGCAGATGGCAGGTCAGGCGGGGTTGTGGATAGCCATGGCTGCGGGAGGGCTGGCAGGAGGACTGCATGCCGTCACAGGTAGGGTGGCACATCACCTGATAGATAAAATAGATCACCGAGATGCGAGTGATACGCTGTAAGGCTGTTGTGTGCCTTGTGTGGCCAGGCGCTGATCATCTGGGGGCGTTGCTGCCTTTGTGTGTGAACAAACGGTGGTTCTCGTCGTTCTGGGTGGGATTCAACTGGGGATGCGGACACGGTGAGGCGCACACTCTGGCGATCCTCGTACGTGCTTTCTTTTCTTCTCTGTCGATTCTAGGTATCGGTGCTGCGCTGCTGGGTGCCCTCGCATACCTCCTCAAAGATCAGCTGGCGGTGCAGGTCTTCTCCGAGTAAACAATCATACGCAGCAAATAATCGCTCTCTCAGAGAAGAGGAATCGCCACGCGATTCAATGGTTGTGGCTGGTGTGTGTGTGGGCCTCAGCTACATGGATTTTGCCGTCGGTACCATCCTGATTATCATCGGTCTGATCGGCATCATGACTGCACGGCAGTGGGAATACGAGATGCAGCAGAGGAAGGTGAGATAATGGAGATAGGCAAGCACCACGCACTGCAGCGATGGCAGCGGATGTGATGATATCCTTTCGTCCTTCCTCCCTCCCCTTTTGATTCAGCGTGACCCCGAGAGCGCACTGACGGGCGTGGCCTCCACATCCACACCTCTCACCGACTCGGACGGTGAGCTTGACGGCCCCCGCAAGCACCACACCGACGGCCTCCCCACCGCCCCCATGACAGAGATGCATCGAGTGAGTGTATGGGTGTGGGTGTGTCGTTGTAGGCAAGGACAAGGGGAGGCAGGACCACACTGAGGCAGCAAAGACCAACGGGGTAAGTATCTCATGACCTCGTTCTCTCTCTCTCTCTCTCTCTCCCTCTCTCTGTCTGTGTGGATGGCTATATGTGTGGTCGTGTGTGTGCTGGATGGATGGGTACAGGCGTATGGAGCGGCTGACGGGTCGGGGCTGCAGGACACATCGGCAGCGGTAGCGGAAGACACAGCGATGCTGTCGAAGGAGGGCCAGGAGTCCAGCTCAAGTCATGATCCCAATGCTGCCGTCAGGTGGGCACCGCAAGAAAGCCTGCCTTGCTGTGCACACACACACACACACACACACCCAATGCGCGCATGTGTGTTTTTCTCAGAATTGGATCGACATTGAGTGTGGCGACGATAGGGACTGGGATAGTGCATGGCATCTCGGGAAGCGGACACTTCCTGGGCGTCCTCCCGGCACTCACCCTGCCCTCGTGGTCAGCCCATCACATGGAGTGGCGGGCGGCATATGTATTGTGTGATGATGAACATCGATCATCAGGGCCACATCAGCGGCTTATTTAGTGGCGTTCTGCCTCGGTTGCTGCGTGTCGATGAGTGCATTCACCTCCATCATCGGAGAGGTGAGCTCAGCCGGCGATCGACACATGCACGAGTGCCCGTATTGTGACCCTTTTTCTCCGTGTGTGTGTGTGTGCATCATCAGACGAGTGTCCGGCTGCGCCGCAATTTCAACCGGCCGGACCTTCCCGCAAAGCTCTCCTACATCACTTCAGGTCAGGAAGGAAGGAGAAAGCGATTCTCATTGACACACACATTCGATTGGCCACTCCACGTGTGTCTGTGTGTGCAGGGATAGCCATAACGATTGGGTGCATATGGCTGCTGAAGGCCATCATCGTCGGCACACATATGCTGCTGCTGTGATGATGGTCTATGTGTGCGTGGGTGCTCGAGGGGCGGAGGGATGGATGGAGGGATGGAGGGGGACGGATTTTGATGAGGTTTTGTGGGCGGTTGGTTGTGAAGTGTGTGTCGTATGTGTGCGTGAGTGTGTGTTTGTGTGTGGTCACGATTTATGTTGCCATTCCAAACCAGCTCGATCGTGTGTGTACAGGACAGAGCTGCTTTTTGGTGGCCGCACGGACGGGGCACAAAGCCTGGATGCGTAATGACTGAATATGCATGAAGGCACGAATCGATCCACCCAGACGCTCATTCACACACATCCAGGGATCTATCCATCGGCAATCAATAAGGCAGCTACTGTCCTTCCCCCACCCCCCCACTGACCCACTCGATGTACCCACTCACAGTATGGCATATCAATCCCACGTATGGATTCGATCAGAGCGCCACAGCAATGGCCGTGACGTCGTCTACCGTCCTGTTGTAAGAATTGTCAGCCCACTGCTGCCGACTCTCAGCACACACCTAACGAGGGAATGAACGCCATACACACACACACACACTCCCGGGTGCTTTGTGTGTATTGGGGTGGGGTATGCGATTGTGTGCTGTACCTGGTGTATGGCTGAGACGCCCCCCTGCAGCAGCTGCACAGCGACGTGTTCAGGCGAGCAGAATACCCACAGGCCGTCCGTCCCCAACACCAACATCGACTCACTACTATCCCTGCGACACACACCAACAACAACAACACACACGCGCACAGGCATGAGTGAGAAATCAGTGGGTGTGGGCGTGGTGCTGGTGTGCCACTTGAGGGGGTAGCATGCTATCTCAGGCTCGTGCGTCACGCCGCAACGGGTGGCTGATGGACCAAGGAGAGAGGGAATCCCACACATTCCCTCTGCATGCACGCCTCTGTGTCGGTTGGCTTATACCTGCAGTGTCTCCGAACGCTCGCGTGACGGCGAGAGCAGGGCCTGGACTGCCTGCAGAACCACAAACACACACATCGCTCCTGTCCTCCCGCCCCTGTGTGTGTGTGTGTGTGAGTGACCCTTTCCGTATAGTCTCATGGCTCCCGTGTTCGAGGGCCGCACCTCACCACCACACTGACTCACACGCTCGGCCTCTGACACACATACAAACAGCCATGGTAGGGAAGCGAAGCCACAACCGGCCGTATGTGTGTGCTGTGTGTCGTATATAGCTCTGTGACACACCAGATTGCCGGTCTGGCTTGTGGTCCGATGTCAGCACCGTCACGTTGTAAGAGGCTGCACAGGCGAGTCGAGTGGGGGGAAGCCATCCGCCGCAGAGAGTTCCGTGCCCAATGTGTCGTGAAATGACGGTTACGTACCCCCTGCGTTGGCCTGTAGGTCTGAACCGCTATCAGTCGCTTTCCCACCTGCTGCTGCTGCTGCTGGCGACGCCGATACCAAGGCAGCCCTGACAACACACACACACGGATGTAGGCACACACATGCACAGTGAGTCTGTCTCATTTACTTGGAATCGCCGACGTGTGCCGTCCAGAGGAATCGCGAGGCGTCCGGCGCACCACCATGGGCGGTGGCCAGCCGCCCGCCCCCGCCCGCATGGGCATGTGCCTCAGTTATCACAGCTACTACCGCTGTCGCACCTACATAGACACATACACAAACACACATCCGTCAGTCCCCTCAAGGGCACGGTTTGTGTGTCGTCTCCCCCCTCCCTGCGCACCGGAGTGTTTGTGGTCGAATGCCTGCTGTGCCAGATTGGCCTGTACCATGTTGAACGCCTTGCGGAAGGCCATACCGGGATCCACGCGGAACTCCGGCAGGCCAAGGATGCACTCTGATGACACACGGACACAACACGTGAGGCACGACACATAGACACATGAATGGCGGGACACACGTGGCATGCCGAGAAATGGCGGCTTTATGTGTGTCCCCACCTGGCAGCGACTGTCGGACGAATGCAGCGCACTCCTGGCCGCACTGCCCATGGCCATCAAAGGCACCAAACAGCATCACACCATCAGTACTGAAGAAACGAACCAAACACACATCAGACAGACACTCACATTCCGTAAGTGGCGGCCATGAATGCGGTCGTACGTCTGCAGGAGGACGAAGTCGTCTTGGTTGGGCACATTGTCGTCGAGTCGCCTGCCCCTGGTGCACACCCACGCCAAACTGCGGCGCAGCAGCTCCACCGCACCGGACGGCTCCGCACGCACAGCCTTGGGCGCAAAGTCAGCCTGAACATATCACTCCACTAGAGGACCTGTGTGTCGGTTGATGTGTTGTGAATGCGCTGACCTGCGGCTGTATGTCGAATTTGCCTTCGATGATGAACCGCAGTGGCGGCAGGTCAGTGGCTGCGATGGGCATGGTTGGAGCAGCGGTGGTGGTGGTGGTGGTTGGCGCAGTCTGCTCGTGTGTGTGTGTTGGCTGTGTCGGCATCGATGGAGGGGGGAGGGCCACTGACGCATCACCCACATCTGACACACACGATCCCAGACACGGGGGGACGGACGAATATTATCCTCATGTGATTCTTCTCTGTCCGTCCCACCGTGTGTATCATCCTCCTCGGCCGCTACACCAGCAGGGACGTCGCTAGCCCGCCCCTTCTTCCCCCTGCTGCCGCCCCTCCCCCCTCTCCCGACACCCACACCCACACCCACAGGCCGCGACCCCTTGAAACCTCCCCTCGTGTGACTCGCATGGCTGACGCGCAGGTGCTCCTTGTCCTTCTTCCGGCCACCCCCAGTGCTCCTGCGATGGACCCCCGTCGGTCTGTCGTCGCCTATGCTGAGCTCCCGCAGTGACGAGTGGAGGTTGCTGCCCCCACCGGGCCCATGGAGGGATGGCGATGCTGCTGCGGGGCTCTGCGGGATGGACTGCGAGAGGGCGAGTTGGGCGCGGAGCGAGGATGAGGTGAGGCGCTCCAGCTCCAGGCTGCGGCGAAGCTCCTCGGCCTGACATGGACATGCCACCACAGCGTCAGTAGTTCTTCAGGGTGTTGTGGTGTGTTGCTGCTCTGGTGTGGTCACTGACCTCTGCTGCCAGTGAGAGTTTCTCTGTTTCCATGCGGCTGAGGCTCTTCTGCAAACGATCTAACTTGCCCTGCATCTGAACACACACACACAAAGACAGAAGTCGAGGAAGCGTATGGGCGTGGTCTATGCGTGATACCTCTGTGACGGCTTTCTCGATCTTGTCCCTCTTCTCCACTGCTGCCCTTCCCACCGCTACCTCCCCATCCCTCTCCCTCTCCCTCTCCGCCTGCGCCTTCCTCTCGCCAACTGCAGCCACAGCGGCAGCGGCAGCGGCAGCAGCAGGTGCCGCCCTCTCTTCCAATCTACCGCCCCCACCAAGACCAAGACCAACACCAGGACCCGCACGACCATCCCTATCACCGTCCCGCTCCTCTCCCCTGCCCTCTCCCTCCTTGCCGCCGTCCGATGATACTTGCTCCTCATTCGACTCACTAGACAGCACCACAGGCACCAGGGGAGGGCTCAACAGCTGAGCACCACCACCACCGCCACCCACGCCCTCTTTCTTGGCCGCAGTTTCCTGTGCTGCTGCGACCGGGGCCGCATATGGTGGCAGATTGGGGCTGAGCTGCGTCGTCACGACTCGCAGTGTGGAGCCGGGCGGCCTCTGCGGCGGCGCCTGTTTGGTGAGCGCCTCGAGCCTGGCCTTCATCTCCATCATGCGATGATACTCTTCGCTCGGCTGGGCCCTCAGATTGACACCGGCAGCCCCATACGGTCCACAAAAGGCGGCAGCGCCGACCGTCACCAGCCGTGCCGGGTGACCATGGTGGCCGTGGGCACCCTCAAAATGGTGAGGACGAATGGGGTGGGGCAGCGGTGAGGGGAATGACGGGCTGCTGCCGCCAGGTTGGGCGCCGAATGGCATGTGTGGGGGATGCATGGGGGGTCGGCCTGGCGCCGGGCTGAACGACGCCGGGGGAGCGCTCTGCCCCAACCCCGGGCCAGTGTGGACCTGTGCGGGTGCTGCGCCGGCTGGCGGCCCTGGCATGGGCAGTGGGTGCGTGCCGGTCCTGGGGAAAGATCCCCTGAACGGCGATTGGTCTCGGGAGAGGCTGTGTGTGTGTGGCGGTGGGATGCGCGTGTACGGGAAGGCGCCTGCCGGGAGGGATGGGTTGCGATGGAGAGCAGGAAGGGCGAAGGGGGGCTGGGATGGCCTCAAATTGGGCGATAACTTGACCAGCGGAGGCCTGCGGGAACACAACCACAGCAGCTTACCCATGCGGGAGCGTTTTCGTGGAGGAAGTGATGCATCACCTTGGTTGTGTGGGCGCATTCGGCACTCGTGCGGCCGGTGGCTGCAGAGGCTGCACAACAACAGCGTACATTTGGCCATGGTGTGGTACTTTGTGTGGTGCTTTCTCCTTACCCGCGATGCCGACGGGCTGGGTGGAGGGACGAACGACTGATGGCGCTGCATCCTTCGAATTGGATAAGGACGGCCAGACCGGTAGGGATGGCAGATGGCAGCTAAGAATAATGAGGCCCTCTTGGTCGACTACTTTCCAGCTCGCAACAGGGTGGATTTACGTTGAACAGGGCAAGGCGGGGGTGAGGGTGAGATTCCTGTGTGTGCAAGGCAGCCGAGCGCACAGAAATGGGCAGGAACGTCTTTTGCAATGCAAAAATGAAGACATGCACACATGCACGTATTACAGTGAGTGCACGGGCAGACAAACAGCGACAGACACCGGTCTGGCACACTCTGGAGAGACAGACACCCAGACATCTAGCTACCAGCACGATGCATGCCACATATGACCATCGACCTATGTATGTACATACGACATCCGTCACCTATCTATGTACCTATCGCAACCCCCACATGGCCAGCAGAGGCCTCTCAAACAGCTCTGTCCCCCCTCTCTGCTGCTCCAAAGCCTCCAGTGCCATACCTCGGACAGTCGACCGGCGACTCGACCGACGACGGCCACCCACGGCTGCCGCATCGGCCGGCAGAGGCGTAGGATGACCGTCTTGCACCGTCTGGATGCGCACCCGGGAGGGCCGCTTGACAAGAGCAGGCAATGAGTCTCCCCCTTTTCCCTCCGCCATTCCGGCAAGATGCTCCGGCTGGTATAGCTTCTTGAACGCAGCTGTCAAAGCCGCCCCTTCTCCCGGCTGCATCGCACCTCGCATCCACCTTCGTCCCGTACTGCTCACGCGCTCACCTCCTGGCCGAGCCGCACCCTCTGAGGTATCTGATGTCGGGCGAGACATTGCCGATGTGTCCGATGAGAAGTAGCAGTTCCACGGGGATGGCCGGACGGCGCCTTGCGGCCATCGCCGCAGTGTCTGGAAGATGCCCTTCCGAGGCACGCCCCCCGGAGCCAATTCGTCTTCCTGCTCACTCTCCGGCGGCCCTTCTGATGGGATCGTTGTCGCGGCTTCCTGGTCGTCCGATGGTGGAAAGGGGTGTTGGGAAAAGCGCTCGCGTCGCAGCTTGAGGAAGGTGTGGTCCATCTCCTTCATCTGCAGGAGCGGCGGGAGGGCGCCTGTCCTCTGGGCCATCGATGTCGCCTCCAGCTCTTCTTCCACACCCAGCTGGGATAGATGCACAGACACTATTGTAATTGCCCTGATCCTTTAAAGTACTGGCTGTCGAGTGGGCTGACTTGGCTGATGACGAGTGAGTTGCCCCTGGCGAGACCCAGCAGCTGTGCTCGCTTGGTCCGGCGCACGCGCCGCTCCTCATCCCGAGCCTGCCTCTCTCTTTCACGCTCCTCCCGGACCTCAGCACTGTCTGCGAGCGCCTGCAGCTGTCGACGGATGGCCATCTCACGACGCCTGCATGGTCCAAAGGTGAGGGCATGGAGAAGAAATTCACAGATGGAGACATGCTAGTGCTGTCTGTGTGCTTACAGCTGTTCGACGCGATCGTCCCTGAGCTTGGCCCTACGCTGCAGCCTCGCCTCCATGACTGTTTGGACCTACACACATATTTGTCATTGACAGTGTATGTGGGGCCGGTTGCCAGACTGCATGTGGGCGGGCTGACCTTCTCTTCAATGCGCATTTGCCGTCGCTCTCTTTTCTCGCTTTGTCGCTCCAGGCGCATGGCTCGTCTCCTGGCGTCGCGCCTCTTTTTCTCTTCGATACTCCTCTTCTCACGCTCCCTGGCCCTCTCCTCCGCCACACGGGCTCTTTCCTCATCTGTCATCTTCGTCGTGGGCCGTGCCATCTCGGCAGCTACTCTCGTCTCTTGCACCGCCTCCTCTGCTGTCACATCCAGATCGATGGCAGCTTCTTCAGGTCGTGTCGGTGCAGCAGCAGCAGCAGCAGCAGCGATGGGTCGGAGGGGAATTGTCTCCACGCGTGCCTCCGCCTCGACGGGCCCTTCTGGCAGCTGCCCTGGCACTCTGAAGTCCGCCGCTGGTCTTGGTGCCTCAAATCTTCCTTCGCTGACAGCTTGTTGCTCAGGCCGTCGGGCAGCTTGTGGTAGAGTCGGGATGGCAGGAGTCACAGAAGGGACAACAGGGTGCTCTACTTGGGTGATGTCTCGCTTCTCCTCAACAGGCATAGGGACAGGTGGCGTCTCTCCAGTCGGCACTTCACCTCTGTCCCGATCTTCTAGAGCCACAGGTGTCTCCACCCCCGTTTGTCGGACCTCTGCAGCCCGTGTCTCACCAGCACCAGCCATCGTGGCTTCCTTCTGGACTCGTTGACGCCTCCTCCATTCGTCAACATGGACACCAAGCGACTTTGCGAGCTCCTCCTCATCCAACAATTGCTCCATTTGCTCGTCCGATGTCACATGTCGTTTCGTCGGTGTCGTCACCGTCCGCCGTCTCACCAAAGAGGGAGTGACGTGACGTTGCGTCGGCGCTGCCGTCTCAACAACATACTTTCCCGGCCGCTCAGTGAATGGCTCAGCTGCCTCTGGCTCAACGCCTGCTTCCATGGGCTCCTCGCGTGTCGGTGGGCGAAAGGCAGGCACGGCAGGAGGTCGCACGCAGAGACCTGCCGCCACCTTCAACGGAACCTTCTTCATCTCAGGAACGGTCGCTGGGCGGGCCGCTGCGACCCCTAGAGGCTTCGACCTGGATGCAGCGGCGGGCGTGATGGCCACAGCCCGCCATTCGTTGGACAGCTTGGGCCGCAGAAGGGGAGCCGCCTTCTTGGGAGGCTCTGCTGGTGGGAGGGGCAGCAGTGGCAGGTCGGCCGAGGAGGGGATGCTCTCAAGAGTGGGCTCCTTCAGCGGTGGCGGTGGCGAGGGGAGAGGCGTGACGGTCACCTCAGGCAGTTTGTAGGAGGGCTTCACAAGAACAGACGGCTGGGCTGTACACAAACACAGAGGGACACGTCTCTGTCTTCCGCGGACAATTCTGTGCAGGACATGCGGTATCTTTACTTCGAGCTCGTGACTCCTCCCTGGACACATCCGCTGCCCGTCGCAAGAAGGCCAACAGACCTCTCGACGATGTCTCGGCCGCTTGGCGGCCTCTGAGACCAGACGCATACACACATGCGTACGTTAAGAGCACGGTCCCGTGCACAAAGGGAGAGGCCACTTACGCAAAGTTAAAATGAGTGATCTCATATCGCGGGTGGCGGTATGTGCTCCGAGACACCGGTCGCGACGACATAGAAGAGGGCGTGGTCAAAGTACGCCCATGCGGCGCCTCCCGGAACTCAGGTGCGCTCACACGGGGCGGCTCGAGGGTTTTCATCTCTTCAGCAGGAGTCGGAGGCCGCTCTGGGAAGGGTGGATGGGATGATGGGGCCTCATATTGAGAGTGCAGAGCGAATCCCTTGACAGCATACGCGTCCTCGAGCTGGCGAAACACACCCTGAACTGCAGTCGGCTCTGCCGCGGTCGCTCGGAATGCAGGTACTGGATGCGACGGAGTGGTGGTCCGCACGCCATACCTCGTCCTCACGGCACGGCGCACAGGCAGTCGATACGGAACTACGAGTCTCCCCTTCGCAGCCATCTCCGGTCTCTCAAGTGGCCTCAGCTCCCCTTCTCTAGCGCTTCTTGCCACGCCTGCGGAAGGCCTCTGTCTCCGTGGCGTTGAGACACCCAGCGCCCTCCGTCCTGAGTCCGAGTAGACCAGGCGCTCAGGCGGGGCTGAGTAGGGCCTTCTGGGAACCGGTGGTGGTACACGGAGGGATCGGCTGGCAAGTGAATGAGAGGTCTTGGGCATTCCTTCCTCATCCGAGGCAGCTGCCACCGCTGGTTGCCTCACTCTCCACCTCGGTCCGAAATGTGGGCCGTATTTGGCTCCCGTTATGCCCATCTCAGATGTCTCGTCCTCTGTGCCGCTGGTGCTGCTGACCTCCCTGTCTCCCGCTAGTCGTCTCAGCTGGCTCGGTGTCTTCCGATGCCGCTCACGGACGACCGCTTTTGTTAGGGCTGGCGATGATGGCGATCGTGAGATCCCGCCGTCATCCTCTTGTGGGGCAATACAGGGGAGAGGCCAGAGGCCTTCCTCTTCCTCTTTCCTCCTGAGGCACTGCAATACATTGGCTCGTGAGCCGACAGGGCCGAAGAGCACTGGTGGTCTGGTCGATGGGCGGCCGTCGAGGGAGAGACTGAGGGGGAGAGGCGGCCATGGAAGCATGAGTGAGGTTAGCTGGCTCATGCTGCTGTCCAGTGCGGGACGGCAGGAAAACGTAGAGCTGTCGATGGAGGGTAACATGCTTGAAATGGTGATTGGAGGCCGGCGGGGGCCCTTCTCGACAGCTGAATAATCGTCCACCGACACGGACGGTTCCATGCCCATGTCGGTGATGAAGGTCAGCCCAGTGGGAGGCGGCCGAGGCCATCCCACTTTCTCTTCGACTTCGCAAACTGGCCTTTTCTCCCCTTCGATCATAGCCAGAGCCGGTGTCTCCTGAGACTGACACACGGGAACAGTAGATGTTTCCTGCTCGGTATCTTGTTTGGTCGCAAGGGAGTCATCGGCATCTGCTCGCGGCCGCACCGTTATTTCGACCACCGGCTTCTGAACTTTCTTGTCTCGAGACTTCTCCCTTTTCTTGTCCGTTGAGCGTCTCCTTTTCTTCTGTCCAAGTGCGCCTGTGTCGGAGGTAGCTGAGGCTGCAGAGCTGCTGCTTGAGGAACGAGTGTATGTAGGCTGCCGGGTGGTGGTTACAGGCCTGCGGCGCGCTCCTTCCTTTGGCGACGCCCGTCGGGGGCTGCCCCTCATCGATGCTGGGATGGACATGGACGCCTCAGCGACGGCTCTCTTGTGTGGTTTGGCAGGTTTGGCAACATCATCTGCTGCTGGCAGACGAGCTTCTTCCTCGGCAGCCACGACCGCTCGCAGAAGGGCGGTAGGAGAGCTCTCCCGAATGCTTGTGTCTGTTGAGCGTCTTGCCTCCTCTCGCCCGACAGGTGACCGCGTTGATGACCGTCGTCGCGAGAGGGATCTCAAAAGGGCAGCTCCGCTCAGCCCAGTCGGCCCGATTGCATGGATAGCGCCTGCGGTAGCTGCCAGCTTCTCGAGCGCCTGACCGATGTCGATCGAACCTCTTCTGCTTCCTGTCGGTGACTGCGGAAGTTGCGGCAATGGCAAATCCACTGCTGCCGAAAGGGGCACTGGGGCGGGGACGGTGAGGGATCGACGGGAGGCGGAGGATGCCCTGCCGTGTGAGCTCGACGCAGCGGCAGAGGAGACAGATGTGCCCGGCTGATCGGCTGCCGAGGGTATCTGTCTCGAGCCGATGTCCGATATGCGCTGGTAGCTTGACGACAGGTCTCGCTGAAGCTTGAAACGCCACTCCTCCACTGCCTGCTCGGCTTGGCTGCCTGACTCTTCTGACGCTGATGAACTCTCACGCTCGGACGCCGCAGAGACAGCTGACTCTTCAGGTGGCTGCGCCGGCACGGGCTTTGCCGGCGGGGAAGGGGAAGAAGGAGGCTGGTCAACTGTCTGTGCAGCTGTCTGCGCTGGAGGCTGTTCACGTGCTTCATCGGGTGGTGGTGCTGATGGTTCGGGAGACGGGGCGGGCGGGGCTGTAGGTTGCTCCTCTGTTGGTCCTGGTTCAGGTAGCGGTGCATGTTCATGTTCATGTCCGATCTGTACTGATTGCTCATCCACTTCCACTGGTATTTCAACCTCGGCGTCAACATCCTCTGTCGCCTCTTGCGCGTCAGCTGCAGCCACTGCAACAGGGGTGGTGTCTTGTGTGAGATCTTGCCCTCCTTGTTCGGCAAAGAGCTCTTGTTCGCCAACGGGGCTGCCTGCCTCCTCGACGACTTGTACTGCATCTTCAGGTGCTGCTGCTGCGGCCCCCTCGTGTCCTTGATCAACAGCCTCGACGTCAGCAGGCACAGCGACATCAACCTCGTCTCCCGGGACGCTCTCCATCTCCTGCTCGCCGGCTCCTTCATCTGGCTCAGCAGAACCCTCCAAAACCTCTGACTGACCGGCGTCCTCGACGCTCTCTCTCTCAGCCTCGTCAACCTGCCCAGCTGGAGCCTCCTCTGAGGGCTCCACGATTATCTTGTCCAGTGGCATGGTCTTCATCGTCTTGAGTGGGACGGGCTCCTTCACAGAAGGGGGAGGTACTGGCGGCTGCTCTGCTGCGCCTTCAGTCGCAAGGGGCTGGGGCTGTGCGTCCTCCCTCGGCATGGCTTGCGTTGTCGGTGGCGGCATGGGTGGGGTTGGCTGTGTCTCCGCCTCTGCTTTTTCTTCATCCGGTGGTGCAGCAGCGGACTCCGCCAAGACGGCAGGCGGCACCGGCTGCTCCTCGAGTGGTGTTGGCTTTACCACCTCATAGGACTTGCGTGACATGCTCCACGGCTCCGAATGGGGGCGTGACTCTTCCGTAGCTGCCTTCTTCTCACCCTCAGCCGGCATCCCGACACGCAGCCTGATGGTCTCGACGACAGAGGGAGCCAGCATATCTTCGGCTTCTTCGGCTTGCTCTATCGTCTCTGGTTCAGCAGTTCCTTCGATGACCTCCCCTTCAGCACGGATCGCCGCACCTGTGGCGTCTGCAACCTCTTCCCTTTCTTCTGCTGCTTCCACTTCGATCTGTTGCATCCCTTGCCCTGCGATTTGCTCCTCTTGCTCCATCACTTGATCGATCTGCTCACTCGGGGCCGGCACGGCCTCCTCAACAGCAGCTGGCGGCTGCGGTGCCTCAGGCTGTGGCGGCAGCACTGGCTGCTCTGGCGGCAACTGCTGTGTCTCCTCTTCTACTTCGGCGCCGCTCGACAGCTGCTCCTCGTCCTCATCTGTCCATGGCTCTTGATCAGCCTCATCTGACTCGAGGCCGCTCAGTGTGTCGATGTCGATGGTCTGCACCTCACTCACGACCTCCCTGGTCCTGTCCCTGGCCTCATTGATCTCCATCAGATCATCTTGAAGCCTCTGCTTCTCCTGATCATGTCTCGCCGCCTCCTGTGCATCTTTGCGTGCGCGGGTGTCGTCGATGACCTGCTGCTGGTCGTCAGCCCGCTGGTCCTCCAGAAGGATGTCGATGATGCGGCGCCAATCGGCGGGCGACGGGCGGAGCTCCTCGACCACACCCCATCTGCAGTGTAGCCACTCAGGCTGACGTGTACAAGCGTTCGGATCGCAGGCTGCTAAAGCATTTTCTTACTTGCATTCGCCCCCCGTGAGCATGTCGAGTATGCGCTCTCTCCTCTGGCACTCCTTGATCGTCCGCGGCCCTTCAAGTCCCCCCTCCAGCGCTAGACTGCTCCGTTCCAGATGTCGCTGCACGATCCGCCAACGATTGACCATCGCAATATGCACCATCTGGGTGATGCCGAGTGCTTCATGCAAAGGCGCCTGCGTCTCCTCCTTTTTGGTCACGATGTCCGAGGGAGCACGGCTGGGGCGGAATGCCTTTGTGGGTGAGAGGCTGGTCTGCGTCTGATGCGGAGTGAAGAGGCCAAAACCAAAGGGACGTTCGAATTTCTGCGTCGAGGAGTGCAGAGAGGAGAGACGAAGTGTATGTCGGGAAGGCATGGTCCTTCTTTGCCCACCTCGTTCGGATCGACGAGCTGTTCGAATGTCTTGTTCATCCACATGAGGTGATTCTTCTTTACGTCCAGCGAGTGCCTCTTCTGCATGTCGCGTCGTGAATGGTAACCCTTGACCATATGCGCCAGCCTCTCCTCCACCACTGAGTTGCGCGCCACATCTCGCCGCCCAAGCACATCGCCCTCCCCCTCCTCGTCCTCACGCCACACGCAGTCGGTGCCCTCGCCCATCTCGTGAGCTGTTCGCTCCGTCCGCTGCAGCAACTTCCACAGCTCCATCATGCGCTGAAAACGGTAGAGCGTGGCCGTGCGGGAGAGCCGCAGGTGGCGGGTGGGCTTCAGCACTATGCGACTCTCAATCACGGATGGTAGCATGCGGTCGATGGGGTGTGGGAGATCCTCCCTGTGCAGGTGGTCGACGTATATTTGCTGCCATATGTGAGGGTCTTCGATGCCAGCGCGCTCCAGCCGGGAGAGGATCAGCTCTTGACGATCGGCCAGGCAGCTCCTGACAAGCAACGAGAGAGAAAGACAGAGGGAGTATCGACGATACTCGGCGGTTGGCTCTCTGCTTGGCTCACTTGACTGCCTGAGGGTGCCAGTAAGTCATGGCTTCTTTGAGTCTCTGGCTATGGGGCTCGCACACCAGCAGCCTCAGCTTGCGATAGAACTCATCGCTTGTCCGCCGCAGTGTGAGCTTCTGCACCTCCTCTTGAAGCCGCTTCGGCGCCATTGGTCCCTCTGGTTCCTTCGATGCCTCACTGAATGAAGCAACCACATCATGGATAATCGCACCGTGTGTGTATGCGTATGTCTCTTACGCTTCGATCGGTGCGATTTGGATCTGTTTGATCATGTCAGTGAGCCGTCGTGACCTCCTTCTGATCGCCGAGCGCTGGAAGGTCCCGGGTGATGGAGGCACACTTCGCGGCAAGCCTTCTCCTTCGCTGCGCGGTGTGAGGACGGCCACTGGCGTGGCACCCTGCCAATCACGAGACAAACAACTCAGCATGCACTTGATTCATTCTGAAATCAGGCCTCTTGTCTCACCTGATCAGGCGACGTGACAGGCCGCTCGTCTCGTTCGTCCCTGTTCTGTCTCACCCACGAGAAGGCCCTGACGGCCGCACGCACCTTGCGCCAGTACGCCCGCCGCTCTGGGCGAGGGGTGGAAGGGGGCGTCCACCGCTGGGCGGCCGGCAGGCACAAAGCCCACTGGCCTCTGCCAACTCGGTCGCCACGAGTGTCCTGCAGATGCACACGCTCCAGGCGTCTGCATACACATCCCACACAGAAGAAAACAGATGCTTGGCCTGCCGGGAGGGCTTCTTCGTCAGACTCACTCACTCACTCACTCACTCGACAATGTCCTGGCAAGTGAAGCCCATGGCGTCCTGTTGTTCGTCGGGGGAGCTGCCCATGGTGATCAGCAGCGCCACCATCCGCAGCACCTCATTCTGGGTGGGCCGCCTTTGCCACCGCCGAAATGGCTTGCCACCGGATGTCAGCCACTCAAGCACGCGGCCCTTGATGGCTGAAGTGCTGCCATGACTGCTCCCATCTGAAACACACACACGCACACACAAAGGACAATGACATGACCGAATCTTCGGTTTTCGTCGCCATGTGTGGACCTTCGGCCCGCCAAGGCGGGTTTGAGAAGGGCGGAGCGAGTCGCTCGGAGTGCACGCGAGGGTCTCGTGGGTATGCGGGCAGGGCGAGCTTCAATGCCACATGCAGAGGGGTGTCGTTGGAGGGGGATGTGCGGAGACACAGCTCGCGGTGGCCGCCCTGCCGGATGCGCTCGACCAACTGAAGAAGAAGAAGAGTACACATCAAGGTAGGGAGGCATTCACAATGATGTGGGAGTGAGTGAGTACCTTGATAAGGTCGTATGAGTGCATGAGATCAAACAAAGGCGGAAGCGCGAGAAGCCGAGGAGTGTCTATGTCTGACTGCACCAACCTCGAGAACTCTCCTGTATCCCAGCGCTATGCAAACAGAAAAAGTGAAAACACACCTCCTCTGTAACTTTCCTGACCATCCGTACCTTCCATTTCAGCGCTTTTGTGTCGGTCTCTTCTCTGCCAGCGCCAGCCTGTTGGTGCTGCTTCAACGCTTCGGTGGGGTAGCTCTTGATGCCATACAGCCTCACTGTCTCCATCCACACCGGTGGGGCGGTCGTCCTGCTCAACAACAGCCCCCGCTGCTCTGAGGCGTTGAGCAGCGGCGGCAGGTTGGAGATCAGCAGGGCACTGTCGGCCTGCCTGGCCTCCTGTGACGCTGTGGATGAGCTCTCTTCGTCGCTGATGGCGCGCTGCCACGCATCGAAAGTCTTGCGGAGCGTCTGGCGGACACAGGGAGAAGTGTGTGCACGCTTCGCTAGGTGGGTCACTCACCTGTTTGAAGAGCCCTTCCTTGTGGCTCATGAAGAGGACTTTCCACCGCTGGCGGCGCTTGGTGAACCCTGCCCAGCAGCGAAACGCACGAACCTCCAGCCAGGCGTAGTAATACATCCCACGCCACTCCTCCACTGTTTTCTCGCGATTGGTGCTGCTGCTGTTGTTGCCCTCGGCGTCGTCAGAGACACCATTAGCGTTGTCATCAAGGGGCCCATTAGACGTGGATGAGGATAGGTGCACTGGGGGTGAGGCGGCAAGCCACTTGAGGACGGCGGATAGGAGACATGAGCCCTTCTGGGACAGACGCACTTGCAGCTCCAGCTGCAGCGTGGCAAGAGAGTGGAGAGTCAATGAGTGTATGTATTGGTCGCATATCGGTGTTTGTGTATCTCTTTACCTACTCTGAGGATTCTCTGGAGCTTCCACACCCGAAACAGTGCAGCCGTCTTGCGCTGTCTGGTCTGGCGTATGAATCCCTCCGAGGCCTGCCGCAGATGGCGCCGTCGGTGGTGGTAGTGCCGCCACACGCACATCACCTGACCCAGCGTCTGCAGGAGTGACCACCATACATACGAACATATGTGTGGGCGCGGGGGTGCTCTTGATAGGGCTGGAAATTGCTGACCTTGTATGTGTAGACCTCTGTGATGGTGCCCTCCTTGAAGCCCTGGAATGCGTGGAGCATCAGAGTGACCTGACGGAACCGCGCCGCACGCTCCATATTCCGCTTCTTCCATTGCCAGTACCGACACACACTGAAGGAGACAGGCAGGCAGGTACAGCGAGACAGAGACGTGTGTGACATGAGAGGACACTTCCCTCACCTCCTCCACTTGCGAACGACCCTCTTCATGAAGGCCCGATTGTGTGTCTCCATCGGCAGGTATAGCCTGGCGTACCCATCCCACCAGTCGAAGCCCTCATTGTACACCGGCACGTCAACCTCCCCCGCCCTCAGCGCCCGCTTATGACGCGTCACCCTCTTCCAGAACTCGAAGCTCCTCTCGGCCAGCTCGTGTTCTCTGTAGGATGCACCGTGTGTGCGGACGTAGAGGGCGTTATGGAGCGACTTGAGCGACTTGACCAGGCGTACTCGGTTGCACTTGAGCTGGTGCGTCTCGTCGTACCAAGCGCGCAGGCATCGGCGGCGGACCAGGTAGCTTTCGCGGTCAGCGCGCAAGCGGACCTGCTTCCGCACTTTGAACTCTTGCACCTACACGCAACGAAAGACAGAAGAAGATTCTGTGGCGAATGATTTCCTTTGTGTCTACCCTTTCATCGAAGTTCTCTTGGTCGCCGCTGTCTTGATCGCCGCTTTTCTCCTCATGTGGCTTCACGGCAAGTGTGTCTTCGTGTCCCTCCTCCTCAAGGTAGTCCGTCAGATCCTGCAGCCCCACATAGCCAATGCCATGGCGGGGACGGCGGGGCAGCCGACGACCACGCACATCTGCTCGAGACGAAAAGATGGACGCAATGACGGTATCATGTGTTGGTGGTGTCTTCCTACCCACCGGTGTCCATTATGGCCTGTGTGGTCAGCCCAAGCCTCTCCTCCTTGGCCCGACTCACTGCCCATGTCCATCCCCGCCATGTCAGCCACACCAGCCGCCTCATGTGCCACTTGCCGGCCACGAAGTAGGCGCGCCAGTCGAGCCAACAGTCCATCAGCGGCCGATACCGCCACCGCAAGGTGACCATCCACCGCCGCCAACACCGCCTGCCCCTCACAAAAGTCTGGATCCTCAGGGCCGCCCTCTCGCGCATCTGATCGGCCGCCTCTACGGCCACAGCTGCCGACTCGCGGCGAGGAAACTCGTGCCTTTGCTTTGCCTGCTGAGATGTGGCGGGCCGAGAGCCGGGCTGCGAGGCTGTGGAGTGCGATTGGCCGCTCTGGGAAGACGGCGGCCGGGCGGGAGGTGCCTTGTCGACCTTCACAAGTGCCGTTGTTGTGGCTCTCTTCGGCCGCTTCCGTTCCTTGCCCTTGTTCCTGATGGCCTGCAGCATCTCCCGATAGTGTTCCCGATGCTTCCGCCGCTTGATGGCATCGAGTCGGTCTTCAGCCTCGTCCAAGTGTCTGTGGATGCCCTCCACCATAGTCGAGAGGTGCAGGTATTTCTCCGTGTGGGCTGCGTCAAACGGCGCGTACCACCAGTCGCTGGCCTCCCCGGTGTGCATGCTCGAGGCGTGGTGGTCAGGCGGACACGTGAGGGTGACGGCCGAGGGGGACTCGGATACAGTGGATATCATGAAGGGGCCTTCGTCGTGCCGCCGTGTTGACGCATAATCTTGTGGCCGCACCTTCTTCTGCTCCCCTTCATCCGCTTGTATGCCCTCCTTCGCCTCGGCAATGTGGATGCCATTGGCTTCGGGATGGAAGGGGGGCGCGGACACAGAGAGAAATGGATTGGCAGAAGCCATCACCGTGACGGGATGCCGTCGTGATGGTGGTGAGTGCGGGAGAGCAGGGCTTGTGACGTGAGCTGAGACGGAGGCCCCCAGGGGTAAGGCGTGAAACCAAATTGGACAAAAGGAGTTCATCGCGTCAGAAGAAGGGAAGAAGAAGGCGCCTGGGACGTCAACAGATCATCACGGCCTGCACCACGTTGTGTGTGGGATCTTTATCTTTGGTTGTCTTTCGGTGTCCTTCGCACTACTTCCGGCGCCACGGCTGCTTCGGCTTCAGTGTGTGTATCCCCTCCTTCTGACCCCTCCCACCACCCCACGCCGGATGGACCCAGCGGCAGAACCGCCCCCACATCGACCGCACAAATGGCCAGCAACCTGTCGCAGGACGGAGGATCATACAAGGGCCCTCTCATGCACCTCTTCCCGCCTCACAGCTGGAAGGAGGCCGCATCCACCGCCGCTGGGCCTGCCGAGGCGGGTGCGGGTGTCACTGAGCATGAGGAGGAGGGGCCTCTGCCGGTGGGCGTCGGCCACCCAAGGGAGTTCGCGAGTTATGTGAACTGCAAGGAGTGGCCAGCGGAGCAGTTTGACCTCGTCAAGACGCTGGCCAAAGCTATCCACGGCGATGTGCTGCTGATGATGCACAAGCCGTCCAAGGACCTTGTGGTGGTTAAGAAGATGAAGAACGAGAACGTCGAGAGGAGGGGGCCGCACCAGCTGGAAAACGCCGAAAACGAAATCGGGTGAGTGAAGTGAGCAACACGACAGACAGGGGACAACAAAGACGGTGCGGCTGAGCACGTGTTTGTGTGTGTGTATGTGTGTGTCAGTGTGTCGTGTTACTTGACGCGCTACACGACGAGCGAGTTCATAGTGCGCATGATTGAGGTGTTCCGTGACGCCAGCTTCACGTACTTCGTCACCGAGCTTGCAGACAAGGGGGAGCTCTTCAACATTGTGGTCGAGAGCAAGATGCTCGACGAGGGCCGCACCAAGTACTACATGGCTCAGGTGAGTCAGTCTGCCAGCCAGCCAGCCAGCCAGCCAGCCAAATCGGACGGCAAACATGCCTGCCTGCCTGCTTGATTTCTTTGGTCTCTTCTGCTCTGTGGTTAGGTGTTGCGCGCGGTCAAGACGTTGCATGACAACGGCATCGTCCACCGCGACATATCGCTGGAGAACACCCTGCTGCACAGCGACGACACTGTCCGGCTGGTGGACTTCGGACAGGCCGTGCCGCTGTTTGACAGCAAAAGCGAAAAGCGCAAAGACAAACTCCTCACCGGTGTGTCAGTGAAGATCAGCAGCACACCTTCGAGAATCACATGTGTGGTTCGTGGTGCCATGGCTGTCAGGTCGTGCGGGCAAGTCCTACTACCGTGCGCCTGAGATGTATTCGGTAGCGTACCGCGGGCGGCCTGTGGACATCTTCGCGTGTGGGGTCATGATGTTCATCATGGCGCTGGGCACACCGCCATGGCAGCAGGCGACACTCAACGACGACCGATTCGCTTTTATACAAAAGTCAGCACAGAGAGACAGAGAGGGATGTGGCGTGTACCGTACCCGTGTGTGACTTGTGCTATCAGGTATTCGATGAAGCCTTTGCTCGAGAAGTGGAACCGGCTGCACCTCATCTCTCCCCAGCTGCTGGACCTCATGGGTCGCATGCTGCGAGTCGACCCCGCCACGCGCATCACCCTGCCAGAGGTCTTCAGCCACCCATGGTTCAACGACCCCAACCTCGCACACCCTCCATGGACACCCGGGCCGCCCCAAGCCAGCAGCTTCTTCACCGACATCCCCCCATACGCCCCCCCTCCCCCACCACCCCTCCCACCAGACGCAGCCCCGCCACCGCCCCAACCCCCGCCGCAGCGCAAGAACCTCTTCCCGCACTCTCGACGCGCCCAGCAGCTCTTCGGCGAGTCGTCCTCGTCTGCATCATCACACCATGCACACAGGCCGCCGATGGGCACCGGCAGGGCAGGGCCGTACGGCTATGGGCCCGCCTTTGGGCAGAGCATTGGCCACACCATCCAGATGGGGAGCAGAGACCGGTTTGAGGCCACTGGCGAGACGGACGCTATCATGGGGGACATGCACCAGTCCATGGGGGGGCACCACATGGGCCACCCCGGGCACTCGATGATGCACCACCAGGCACATCGGCCGGTCGGGCGGATGCCGGCGGCAATGGAGACGGACGAGGGGCAGGGCGGCGCGGGGCAGGAGAGGGAGAGGAGCGGCCCCACTCCCATGGAGAGATGACATGAGATGGATGCACAGAGGCAGTGAAGAGGTAGACAGACACGAGACGAGACGAGAGCTCAGTTTTTCGTTAGTCGGACAGACAGTCGGGTGGTGGATCGATATCGACGAGCGCCTGCCTAAGTGGGTGCAGTGAGTCAGTGACGAGTTTGAGGGCGTGTGTGCGTGGGAGCGTGGTGCGTGTTGCATATCCTATTATATGTGCGCTGTCGGCGCCCTGGCCTTCCCAAAGGCACTGCGCGGATAGCTACCTAGATGGATGGACAGACCGTCTGTCTGAGAAGCCTCCCATGGCCATACACACACACACATACATACATACCGTCCACCCCCACCCTCCCTCTGTGACATTTTGCCATCCATCCTTTCCCTCTTTGGTTTTGATACCTACCTGCCTGCCAACTAGATGCCTGTCTGCTTGCATCGTGATGCATGTGTCTCTGGGGTGACTGTGGTTGTGGTCATAGCTGGCTGCTTGCAGAAAGCCGGACAGACAGCAGGGTTCTCTCGGGACAGATAGAGTGTTTGTAGGCGCCTCGCCTACCCACGGGGGCATGGGCATGGGGTATGGGTACTCCCTCTCTCTCTCGCCCGTCTCACTCGTTCTGACACACAGGGCTCCACACACGTGACACAGCCGGCCTCTCTCCCTCTCTCTCCGGCTGTGTCGCGGGTGTGGAGCCGTGTGTGGTGGAGATGAGACGCATGCATAAGGTTCCCCGTATGGCTGGATGGCTGGTTCTTTGGTGTCTCTGTGTGTGTAGTGAGTGACTCGTGCGTGCCTGTTTGTGCTCTCGCATCATGGCTGAGACAATGACAGCTTGACGTGGGTGGATTTCTGGTGGAGCCATGGCGTGCACTCGCTCGCCCGTAGCATAGCAGCCCAGCCACGGACTGTGGGCTACGGACGGGACGGATGCGATGATACGTACGGGGACCGATTCATGGGTGACTGAATGAGTGAATGCACTATGCACTGGGTGGGCATCCAATCGTCAATCGTTGTTGAACTGTCGACGTCACATGTAGTGTAGCATCATCCCCCTCTGTGTGCGATGGTCGTGCTCCCGTGACCAGGGAAGCGGACGGCCCACCCTCCCTTCTCGCCGAAAGGGCAAGTTGAGCGTACGCTCCGGCCATGAGAGAGAAGCGCCCGACTAAAGCACACACATGGAGGAGGAAGAGATCACCATTCACGGGACAGACCGCCAGTCAGTCAGTCAGTCAAGACGACCACCCATACAATGGTCTCACGAGCATCGCCTCCCTGCCTCTCGCGTCCATTCCATGCGCTCCTTGTCTTCGTGCGCCATCATGCGCTCTTCCGCTGAAACAAGGGCTCATGCTCCGCAGAACAGCACAGGGAGAAGCATACGACAAGGGACACATCGGATGAATGGAATCAGAGAGACCTGGGCTTAAAAGCCGCGCCAACTGGGTACACCATCGAAGAATCCCTCCATCCCTCCATCAGTCAATGGTAGGTACAAATAGCAGCAGCAGACAGGCAGCAGACAGGCAGCCGGCCACCCCATCACCCAACACTGTACACGACCCTCAACCCCCACCTCCGTCCGCCACACAAAACCCAACCCCCCTCCTGACTTGACTGCCTTCATGCCATTATCAAGGCGGCGCTGTCTGTCTGTCATTTGCTTGCCATTACAGGGGTGAAAAACTAGCTGGTGGTCACTACAATCTACTCACTCACTCCCGCAGCCACGCAGCCAGGTCAGCCAGTCGTGTGTGTGTGAGTGGGTAAGGTAAGAAAAGAGATGTGTTTAGAAAGTGCCGTCTTCGATGTCGGCCAGGAGGGGGCCGACCTCCGCCACCCGCTCGTCGTACTTGTCGAAGAACCACTGGATGCCCTCACCAGCACGCCGAAACGCCTGACGCACCCACACACACACAAGCAGACAGGCAGGGAACCGAAGTGAGTCCAGTCGCTATGCGGCTGCTGCTCTGCAGTCAGCGTGTACCATGACGACTGCGTCCCATCCCGTTCGGATGCTCTTTGAGAGGTCCTCGATGGCCTCGGGCGGCAGCTGGATGTCAGGAGATGACTCCAACATCGCTGCCGCCGCCAAACGCTCAGCAAACGTCGGCACCTCCTGCTGCAAATACATGACACACACAGAGACCAACCACACATGAGCATTCCGCGCATGAGTGACAGGACTGGTTACCTTCTTGGGTTCTGTGGCGACAGTGGGGAATGGGTGGAGGGGGTAGGGGGCGACCAGACTCATCTGTGGCTGACGGGATGCCTTCCGAGCCTTGCCCTGACACACACGGCACACGCGCCGACAGATGCGTGACAAGGTTCGTGTGTCGCAAGATCCTCATCCCTGGGCGCTTACCGAGGCATGCTTTGCAGGCTTGTTCGCAGTCAGCGAGGGGCCGTTGCCCTTCAGGACGTACCCATCTGCCGCCACACACACAGAGACACGACCATCCATCCCCTCAGGCAGATCCCGGCCTGCCTCCCATCTGTCCGGCTCGTGTGTGCACTCACTCACCAGCCACGAGGGAGTAGAGTGAGATGACGACGGCGCACAGGCAAGCAACCACCTGCATCATGCCGCTCTGCTTCGTTCACCAGACGAGTACACGAGAGATCTCCACTGCTTCAAAATCCGACAGATCCACCGGAACAACACGTAAGACAACGGAGAATTGTCCTTTCTTCTGCGAGCCTCACGAGATCAGTTTTACGGTTTTCCCCTGGTCGGCGCCCGAACGTCTCTGTTGTGAGTGTGCGCCCTTTGTCGACCTGTTTCGGGCGCCTCATCTCATCCACCCCCCATCGCTCCCGTTAGTCGATTGAGAATCATGGTGGTGAAGACTCTGGTGCTGGTTCGCCACGGCGAGTCGCAGTGGAACCAGGAGAACCGCTTCACAGGGTGGACTGACGTGCCCCTGAACGAGACGGGCAAGAACGAGGCCAAGGCTGCGGGCGAGGTGCTCAAGGAGAAGGGCTACTCATTCGACATCGCCTTCACCAGCGTCCTCAAGCGGGCGGTGCACACCACCTGGAACATCCTGGAGGAGCTCGACCTGCACTACATACCCGTCATCAACAGCTGGCGGCTCAACGAGCGACACTATGGCGCACTCCAGGGACTCAACAAGGCCGAAACCGCTGCCAAACATGGAGATGAACAGGTCAGTTATGCGAGGGGTGGTTGCATGGTAAGTGAGTTGCAGGCATTTCTGGTCTCATTCCTTTCTCTGTTGGTGCGGTGCCTGACCGTGTCTGTTTGCAGGTGTTGGTGTGGCGTCGTTCGTATGACGTGCCGCCGCCCCCTCTGGAGAAGGCCGACAAGCGCTGGCCCGGCAACGACAAGATGTACGCCCACCTGCCCCGCGAGGTGCTGCCCTTCACCGAGTGCCTCAAGGACACCGTCGAGCGCGTGCTGCCCTTCTGGTTCGACCACATCGCCCCCGAGCTCATGCGCGACAAGAAGGTCCTGGTGGCCGCCCACGGCAACTCGCTCCGCGGCCTCGTCAAGCACCTCGACGGCATGACCGAGGACGCCGTCCTGAAGCTCAACATCCCCACTGGCGTCCCGCTGGTCTACGAGCTGGACGAGGAGCTCAAGCCCATCAAGCACTACTACCTCATGGACGAGGCGGAACTCAAGAAGAAAATGGACGCCGTCGCCCAACAGGGCAAGGCCAAGTGACGGGCCGATAGGACACACACCATCATGCCTACACACATCTCACAGGTGCGCGGACGGCGGACACAATCACTGGATGGATGCATATGTGTGTGTGTGTTTTGTGTGTGTGGTGTGTTGGTCAGGTCGGTCTGGAGAAGTACTGGTGCGTGTGCTGACTGCGTAGCTGCTCGGTTCTCTTATGGTCTGCGTGTCCACCTTTTTTGCCTTCTGGTTGGCTGGTTCGGCACAAACAGACAGACAGCCGCTCTCGTCCCGCTTTCTGTTTCCGTTTGCGATTGACTGGCTGGACGGCTGACTGATGCGTATGATGCATAGATGGATGTGGGGGCCTTGCCTTCTGCAGGCTTTTTTGACCACAAGCGCTCACAGATGAACAGACGGACACGCATGAAAATGAAGAGTCATTGAATGAATGAAGACGAGAGAGGCGGCCTTGTCGATACGCCGTCTTTGATGCGATGCGTACATACCTACACACATACATACAAGATACCTACCTGCTTTTTCCTACTGGCTGGGCTGCCTGGCTGCCCAGAAGCTTGACGGGCCTGCCTTTGTCCCGTCTGTCTGTCTGTGAGCCAGATCACTGGAGAGCATTTTGACTAGGCATCAGGCAGATAGAGGAGAGAGAGAGAGAGAGAGAGAGAGATGGCATGGTTGGATGGGATGGTCACAATGTACAGACCTGACTGAGAATATTCTCACGCACGCGCCACGAGCACGTCAGTCATCATACTTATACACGGATGCCGGCCCGCATTCATCTGCGGGTGTTTTGCTGTGACACTCACTGGTTTTGGCAACTCAACCTGACTTGCGGGGTCGTGGCTGTGCTTGTCTGATCCGCCGTGGAGATGAAACGTCTGAATGCGATGCAACACGCGCCAACCGTGTCGCACTCCATTCATGTGCTTGCTCTTTACGGCGGACCAGACAACGACAGGTTCCCTCCCTCCCCTGACAAAGCGACATGAATGGACAGATGAGTGCGTAGCTGGCGAGATGACTGCAAAGTGACGTGTGCGTTGCGTCATTCAATGTGCCTCCATCCATCCATCCCACAAGAGGTCCCAATCAATCTGTTATCGTGGCCAGCATAGCATCCACACACGCGTTATGCACATCAATCAATCGACAGTCTGGTCCATGCGCAACCAACACCCCACAGCATGTAAGGTTCTGTCTGTCTGTCTGTCATCCGTCGCAGCATGCATGGCCCCGCAGCCACTCAGCGATGTCTGTAGCATCGGCACACAGATGGAGAGGCGCCTGAACACGCAAACAAAGTGGTTAACAAGTCGAAAATAGCTGGCTCGTGCCAATCGATGCACCTCTTGTGTTCTCACCCACCGTGGTCACGGGGTGCGTCAGCTCGAGTGTGTGTGCGTGCAGCATTAGCCGTGGCGCCCGATCAGCCGCCTCGCGTGGCGCATAGAAGTCGTCACCGAGTATGGGATGGCCAATCGCACTCAGGTGGACACGCAGCTGGTGCGAACGACCTGTCATCGATCCATCGATCCATTCGATCATCCATCACATACGCACACACACAGGAAGCCAAAAGGTGTGTGTGCGTGTGTGTGCGTCCCCCTTGCCTGCCTGTGATGGGTGTGAGCTCGAGCAGCGACGCGTTGATGTCAGGGAAGATCCTCAGCACCCTCCACAGAGTGATCGACCTCTTGCTCTTGGCAGTTTTGACCCCTGCTGGTGCCGATGTGTCCGCACGATTATCATCATCAGATGGTAGACGCCAATCGACTCGAGAGGTCGGGGGATTGGCGTAGTCTTTGACCAGCGGGAGCCTGATCTCGCCTTCGCAACAGTGCGTCAATCCATCCACCACCGCAGCATAGCGCTTCCGCACCTGAATGAGAGGAGAGAGAGAGATGAGCGGGCAGCAGGCAGGCAGGGCCCTGGTCTTATCGCACCTTTTTCTTTCGGAACTGCTCGTAGATGTCCCTCTGGGCCTCATCCGTCTTGGCGAAGAGCATGACGCCAGATGTCATCTGATCAAGGCGGTGGCAGATCAGCCTGATCCATCCATCCATCCAACATACAGACGAATCAATCAACGAAGCAGACCAGCCTTTGTTTGTATCGCCCCTACTTACTTGTCCACTCTATCGGCCTTCACGTGCCTGCTGACTCGCGTCGCAACCGAGTCTTTGATGACCCTGCCAGGCACAGACAAGAGGCCGCTGGGCTTGTTGACCGCAATGACGGCATTGTCTTCATGGAGGATGCTGAGATCTACACTGTTGGGCATCCCTTCGTGCTCTGAAGGCAGCAGACGCCGCCGCTTTGAGGGAAGTGGACGGCGGGTCGACTCCATTCTCAGATGATAAAGGAAAGCGGTGTGCACGACGGTTCCTGCGCACGATAGAAGAAGCGGAATCAATGGAAGCATCTGTCGGAGGGACTCATTGCGCGCTAGAGATCTCCAGCCACCACCTTGCACTTCACGGCGAGTGTGGCAGACCCTCATCGGGCCTTCGGGCCTAAGTCATTCCAGTGCAGATTCATCAGATCTTTCAACTGGGTTCTCGTGCACTGCAGTGTCTACCAGCTGCCATCTTGGCCAAAAAGGGTGGGAAGCGTGAATATTGAATCAGGCCAGACACCTGTCGCACATAAGTCTGCGTCGCATCGTCGTACACTCACTCACACATACGGGCATCCATGCCATGCAGCCACGGAAAAACGCATCACTAGCAGGCAGCATAGCGTCGTCTGACTATGTACAGTCCCTCACTCGCGGCGGGCCGGCCGGCCCACACACGACTCCACACCACCATCACGACACCGATGAATGAATCGGCAGCGTATGTACACGTGTCGCATCAGCATGATCCATCCACCACACCGGTGTGTGGGCAGGGAGGGCATCATAGCTCGTCCTTGCTGAACTGAATGCTGCACACACACACACACACACACACACATCACACAGGCAGGGCAGAGGGGACAACGAATATGGGTAAGTAAACTGTTCGCTTGGCGGGGCTGCTGGTGGTGCATGTGTGTGTGTGTGTGTGTGTGTGTGTGTGTACGTGGCGTGTTGCTGGAGGAAGTCGATGATGGTGTCCACGTCCCTCTCGCCCTCATAGTCTATCGCATGCTGCTTGTCACTGATGGATGAACCAAGGCGTGGGTCGACGAACGAATGGGCGAATGGGCGACACACAGCACACAGGCAGATACACACCGTGCTTGCGCTCTCACCGTTGTGGGAAGAATTTGACCGTGGGGAAGCCCTGGATGTCCAGACCCTGACCGACCGAAACAACAGACAGACAGACGGATGCGTCTGACTGAGTCTGGTGTGGTCTGCGTGTGTGTGGACGTGGCGTATGCAGGGTACCTACCAATACGTCGTTTGCTGTGGCGTCCATGTCTGCGATGAGGATGCTCTCGACGGAGCTCATCTTCTCCGCCACGGACTTGTACATACCGCTGAACTTCTTGCAGTGACCGCACCTGATTGACAGACACCATCGACCGACAGGACACACACGACTCACACCTGAGTCAGTGTCACGTCACGTCACGTCAGGTCAGGCCACCTACCATGGTGCGTAGAAGAAGACGAGCACGTCCTTCTTGGACTTCATGACCACATCATCGAACGTCTTGCCAACCACAGCCTGACACACATAGAAACGGCCGCCATGCACTGCGTGCGGTATCGTGGTGCGCTGGTGCTTACGTATACAGGCCCTGGCTGTTCTGCTGGGATGACTTCGCTCCTCAAAAAGGGGCTCAGGTCGGCAGATTCGAAATCATCTACACACACATACACACACACACACACACACATTCACAACACATGAATGGCAACCAGCGACTCATCTGCGGAAGGCAGTCTTGGGACCCACCGACCAATGAATTTGAGTACAGCCTCCCGTGTGATGGCTTCGTCCATTTTGTACTTGACCATGTTGGACGCGGGGTCCTTGAGCAGCACCAACTGGCGGGGAGAGGAGAGGAGGGGGGCAAACAAATCAGTCACCTATGGACTCGTGTTCGTGTAGGTGCACATACAGTGGGTGTCTCCTCGAAGCTGACGCCGATGTAGTCGAGGAAGCGCAGCTCTATCGGGTCAGACACACCTGAACGAACGACACAGACAAAGAGAGAGATCACACACATGCCCAGCCCATTGGTGCGTTTGTAATGTAAGGTTGTGAGTCTATCCATCCCGGCTGGCCAGCCTGCGTACCCACGACAGCCATCAGCACCCGCCCCTTGAGCTGCTTGGACGCGTCGTGAAGCTGATGACAAACAAACATGACACATGCACTACACGAGTGCGTCCACGGATTGGTTTGTTGGCTGGCTGACTGGCTGACCGCTTGTTCGGCCTTCCTCCCCTGGTCATTCTCCTCGCGAATCACCACCAAGATGGGCTTGCCCGAACCAAACAGCTGCAGCCACACACCAGACCGACAGACAGACAGACAGACAGCGTTGCCTCTCCACCGCTTTCCCTCTGGCAGCATAGGATCTGTGCGTTCTGTACCTCTGGGGCGACATCACCTGTGAATTTGTTGACAAGGGGCATCTTGTTCTCACCAATAAACTCAAGCTGAGAGAGCGAAATGGACCGACACACAACACAGACACGGACAGACATATGGGTAGGTGAGTCTTTCCCGCCCTGATCTAACTGTCTGTTCCTGTGTAGGTGCGTACCACAGCTTGAGGGTCGTGGAAGTCACCCTCGAACTGGACCTTCCCCTCGTCAAAGGGCTTGATGAACAACAAACCGGGCACCTTCGCCTGCACACACACACACACATTCCCATACACACACGCATGAGTGCCTCCATTGCAATGCATTGCGTGTCCAGCCCTGCCCACCCCACCCCACTAGCCACCTGGTAGTGTGACGCGACGGCGGGGCTGAATGTGTGTGCGAACTGCACCTCCTCGAGCGACCTCGCCACATTCTCAAATGAGCTGATGTCCTCGCCATCGTTGAAGAACCCGACCAGTGCCAACGGGTTCCTCTTGAGGTAATCCTGCGCCTGCACAAGGGAGGGAGGAAAGAGCGGAGGAGAAAGCAGCACATGCACTGGGCATCTTGTGTGTGTGGATTGCAATGCACATGTCTGTCTGTCTGTCTATCTGTGTGTGTGTCACCTCACCTCCGCTGTTTGGTTGAGCCGCACTGACGGCGGGCCTGACTTCCTGAAAGAAGGATACAAAAGTGAGTATACCTACCGCGGTGACTTACGCCACGCCCGACGATATATGCACACGGTGGCTGACTGACCTCTGTATCCAGGACACGATGGCGTTCTCTGTCCTCCCTCCCGTGTACTCCTGCTCTTTCCCGTTCCTGCACACACACATGCACAGCACAGCACAGCACAGCACAGCACACACAGCAGACAGACAAACAAGTGGTCAATGCACTGGCGGTGTACAGGCATCCCATATGGCCCCCATATATAGTCTATCAGCCATCCACCACTCATACACACGTACACGAAAAAGAAGATCGTGGGGAACCCCCGGACTCCGAACCGCTCTGCCAGAGCCGTCTCAACCGTCGCGTCAACCTGCACACACAACCACAACACAACACACCCACACACACGCATGTGCCCACGTGTTGGTGTTGGTGTGTTAGTGTGTGTGCAGGTGTGTCCGTGTGTGTCCCTGCCTTTGCCAGCGGTATGTCCATATTGGAGCTCTTGAGTGTCTTGGCCGCCTTGGCATACTCGGGCGCCAGCTGCCGGCAGTAACCGCTGCAGCACCACCCACCCCCAAGTACAGCACACAAACCACACCAAGACATGCAATGCTCGTCCATATGGCGTGTGTGCAGACAGACAGGTAGATCTGATCTGCCGTCCGTCCGGTGTGTTGACTGACTCACCACCACGGTGCGAAGAACTGCACCAATATCATCTTGTGCCTCTCCATGGCTGCATCGAAGTTGCCATCGGTCAGCAGCAGCACCCCTTCCTCCTCAGATATCACCGGCACATCCGCTCGGCAGCCCAGCCGCAGACATGCCGCCAGCAAGAGGAGCGCCACTGCCGCATGTCCGTGTCCATGCCACAAGGCAGGCCGCCGCCGTCGATGAAGCATGATCTCTTCTCTCCCAGTTGAATCACAGGCGAGATCTCCGATGAGCGTGACTAGTCGCCGCTGCTTACGCCACCAGCCCTCCTTCCTTTCCTCCGCGTGTTTGCGAGCTTTGACATGCGAGCTTCGAAAAGGGGCAAGGACGGCGCAGAGGCACTGCCGCAGCGCTTCCTTCCTGCCGAGCAGCAGGAAAGAGATCTGTCCTTAAAAGCGTTTCATTGAGGTCGTGATGTCCGAGAGCAACACGCCGCTGATAGAACACCGGCTGTTTCGGGACTTCGCCGGTCATGAGAGAGGACGCTGCACACGTGCACAGCGCCCATGCATCCATCCGCTCACTTCCTGTGTGTCGTGGCAATGTCACGTTATGTCAGGTTGGAAGCAGCATGCCAAGGGCGGCCCGGCGCTGCTGTCTGTGTCGGCTGTAGTGGGTGGAACGCTTCAGGTCCTCGCAGGTGCGTGGGCGGGAGGGCCCTGTGTGCTGGTCGGCTACCTGCACGCGGGGCGCGACACCATCCATCCATCCATGTCTGCATTGGATGCGCTCCTCTCTCTCTCTCTCTCTCTCTTGTGCAGGTTTGGTGACCGCTCTGACGCAATTGCTGACACTGCGTCCACTCATTGCCCTGCTCAACATATACATGATCGTCTTCGGGCTATTCATCATCGCTATCGAGGTGGGCGCAGGCAGCGATTCTGTATGATGTCTATCCACTCTGTGTGACGCGCGTGTATGTGGATGCAGGTGGCGAGATGGACCACATTTCTGGGCATCCGGCACTGGCTGCAGCAGTGGTTCAGATTCACACAGAGATGTGAGGGAGCTGACTGAACGGCCACAAGAACACAGCGAGAGTATGGTGTGTGCGTGTGTGTGTGCGTGTGTGTGTGTACAGGCATCGGCCGTGGTGTGCTTCACCTTTTTGTAGCAACGTTTGCTCTCATACAGTTCCCAAACCCACTGTCGACCGTCACAGGTAGCCGACACCAACCAGCAAAGCCGTCAGATGCACGTCATGTCATGTCATGTCTGCACGTCCTTGATGCATCCATCGACTGCAGGTGCCATACTGGGCCTGGTCGGCATCGCGACTATCATAACGGGCATCTACGCGGGCTTCAAAGTGCAGGAACTCCACCAGGTGCGTATGTGCCTATGTGCTGCCCAGACTGACACGCCCATCCATTAATGGCATTGATGAACGAATGTGCCCGCCCGCCCGTCTGCATGTGTGTGTCCTGTCGTGTCCTGCAGGAGTTGAAGGCCAAGTGTGGGGCCATCGACCGTGCTGGCGGCGAGGGCCCCTTGGGCTACGCTGAGGTGAAGTGGCAGTTCGCCCTGATGGATCAGGACGGCAGCGGCCAGGTGACGCGCAACGAGCTGGACGGGTGGCTCAAGAAGAACAACATTGCCGTGAGCGAGCTGGAGCTGGAGGCACTCATGGCCTACCTCGACCCTGACGGCTCCGGGAGCGTCAACCTGGATGAATTCTATGCCTGGTTCATCTCCAGGCACGGCTGGGGGCCAGCGTGGGTGTAGAGAGAGAGGCGGGGAGGCAGACAGGCAGGCAGGCCACGGCGAGTGGGTGAGCGGATCTGTAGCCATTCACTGCGTAGGTAGGCGCTTCTAAGGTATTTTTCGATGTGAGCCGAAGGTGGGCGGATGGCTGGGTGATATCTGGCATCGTCGTCCTTTGCTCTTGCCTCGGTGGGAAGGATCTCGCGCAGTGGCAGGCGTTCATGCGACTGCCTGCCACTGAGTGGCGTGCTTCTCCCGGAGCTCAGAACAGAGAGACGAGACGGCCACAGCAACACAGATTTGTGGCAGGCAGGCCCTGTGCACCCACAGAGGCCTTTTATGTATGCATGTGCGTGTGTGGGTGTGCATGTGGGCATGTGTGTGTAAGCGCTGCGTATATGCGTCCGTCCCAATTTTCTCGCCATGCCACCATGCGTGATTTTCCATGCGCTTTATGGGACTGTGTGAGGCGCTTGACAATTCAGAACAGCCAACGCGTTAGTTCTCATGTCGGTGTGTCTGCGTGTCTGCGTGTACGGTATATATATGTGTGTGTGTGTGTGAACACTGTGTGCGTACATATGCGCCACCATCCGTGTGTGAAGATTCATCCGTGCGTGTGGACAGCTCTCAATTGATACGTACGTACGTATGCCTCTCTGCCTTCCGATGTCAGAGCAGATATCAACGTCCCTCTAACCCTCTGCCTTCCTGATGCTCTTCATTTGCGCGCACCACAATCTTCTCTGCCATTCGCCCCCCCCCCCCAAAACACACACACACACACACACACA